CACAGTCATCTTCGAGTACAAACTTGCTGGGATCATGAAGAACACTTTCCATCTTCTTCTCATAATCATTCCGATCGATCAGCACTGCTCCGGACCCCTTGTTAGGGCGTAAAACTAACAAATCAGGTCACAACTGTAGCTCTTCAATGGCGGATGTGAATGTGCTCAGGCGTGAAGAGTGACTTATGTTTGGACGATGTCATCCGGTACTGTCGTTCCAAGTCAACCAGCTTTGCTTTGAACCAAGTCTCCGCATCTTTTGAAGTTCGTTTGACTAATTGTAGTTGTTCGAATAGATATTCGAATTGCGCCTGTGTCTTTATGCTGGTCATTTTACTCGGTGGTATGCAGAAACGTAGACCACACGAAAGCGCTTGTAGTTGAAGTTCATTCGTTTAACCGGAGACAAATTCTTCACAAACATTTCTGGTTGTTTCGGAAAATTTGGTTCGACTAACTTGTGGACGATGGAATTCTGAAGCTTGTTGAATGTACAAAGTTTGGCTTCTCGTATGTTTTCCATGCACAAGTTGGTAAATTTGATTCGGCTAACGAGGCTCAGTTCGTCAAGAATTATTGATCATTCGATGCACGTGGTCTGAAGTGTCGTTAGATTTTCTTTATAATCATCAATCTGACATCGCATCAAACGTCTCAAATTCCTGGTAGAGGCACAGATTTTATTCCTCCGTAAGCGTTTGCAAAACGTAATCGGATATCTGTTGCAACGGGCACGTTGTTCCAGAAAATGAATACGGACTCGAGTTGTGGCAATTTCACATCTCAATCTGACTAGGTCATCGAGAGACCTGATGGTTGATTTCGGGAGACGAGATCTGAGGAAATTTAAACATGCTTTTCCCGAAATAGTCTTGAAAAGAAAAGCCACAGTTGCAACATTGCACGATTCGTGTCCGGGACGATTTCGCTGCATCTGAACATGGTGCACACTGTACAACCATACTGTTTATATAAGTTCATGTAAAACCATAATTTTTGACAAATATAGGGGAAATTTCAATAGTCAAGTTACGTCACCATGATAAAGACACATGAACAAAGAGCTGTTTGTGCTGACACAATATTAGGTTTCCATGAATGTATGGGAATGGTTTGAACAAACCTCAAAAGCCTGGTATTCTTTGCCACGTAAATGACCCGAAACGCAGTGCTTCGGTCAGCTGGATGCTGCGTCATCAGAAGATGACGAGCGACGGCCGACGGCCGACGGCCGACAGCCGACGACGGGATCTTATGGTTTCGAACGTTGTCATTATGCCTTTGATCTGACCCTGATTGCATCACAAAACGTTGTACCCAATTTGGAATATATTCAATCACTCGGTTACGTAACTGGCGCTCTGTTCGACCCACGTACGTTGCTCCGCAACTACACTGAAATTGGTAAATCAGATTCGATTTGGTGTACAGAGGTGGACGTTGTTTCACCGAGGGTGTGGGGATCTCAATCGTTCGATGAATAATTCTGAGGTCAGGTGCGTAATATTTGTTTTGGGCAAGCGCTGATCCAAGTGGTCGTTTGAGCAAGCAATTGATGTCATCACGTATGAATGGAAGACAAAGGGTGACTAGTAGTTTTTCTGCTGAACAATTCGTTTGTCGGATCAATTTAGGCTTGCTGTGCTTTTCGATAAACGCATCGGGATAAGCGTTTCTAGTCAAAGATTCTTTCAGCTGTCGTAGTTCGTTGTCAATCATGTCTTCTGTGCAAATATGTCGTGCTGTTTGAAATAGTGTTCGGACCAGACCACGTTCATATTCCACAGACACAAAGCTGTCAAATTGCAAGCATTGGCCTGTCCAAGTTTCTTTTCGGTAAACAGATCTGGCCATTGTTCCATCATTATTCCTAGTGATTTTAATGTCGAGGAAGTGCAGTGTATCTTCGATTTCTGTTTCCATCGTAAATCGTATATTCGGATGCAGGCGATCGAGTTTATCCATAATCCATGTTGTCTCTTCTAGACTTATTGTGATGACTAGAACATGATCAACGTATCGTTTGTAAAGTTGTGAACGTTCGAGGATTTTGCTCGCCTTTTCCTCAAGATGAGCCAAAAACATATGTGCCAGAATGAGGCTCAATGGAGTTCGGATTGCGACACCGTCAATTTGTCTGTAAGCCCAACCAAGGAAGGAGAACGATACGTTTGTTGTGCACAGTAGTAATTGTCGTACCAGAACTGATACTGGTATGCCGATTTTCAGTTCGTTTTGCTCCACATGATCACACATGATACGTATGACCTCCCGACCGGGAACATTCGTAAACAGTGATTGGAAATCAATGAAGCCATGTGCTTCCCTTTCACATTGATCTGGTCCAAAAGCTTTACCACTTCGAAACTGTCTTTTTTATAGTGTGTCTGACCATTGATTTATGAACTGGCTCAAGCAATTTCTCCAGCCATTTGGCCAATTCGTGTTGTGGTGAATTTGTCATAGATAGTAGTAGTATTGGTCCAAGTGGCACTCCGGGTTTGTTTAGTTTCGGTAAACCATACAGTTGTGCACTTCGAGTTCCTTTTGGCTTCAGATGGTGAGCTGTGCTTTCATCGATGAAGTGTCCTTCTAGTAGAAACTGTACTGCGGTCGATATCTGTTGTTCTAGTTCTTTAGGGTCTTCACAGTCATCTTCGAGTACAAACTTGCTGAGATCATGAAGAACACTTTCCATCTTCTTCTAATAATCATTCCGATCGATCAGCACTGCTCCGGACCCCTTGTTAGGGCGTAAAACTAACAAATCAGGTCACAACTGTAGCTCTTCAATGGCGGATGTGAATGTGCTCAGGCGTGAAGAGTGACTTATGTTTGGACGATGTCATCCGGTACTGTCGTTCCAAGTCAACCAGCTTTGCTTTGAACCAAGTCTCCGCATCTTTTGAAGTTCGTTTGACTAATTGTAGTTGTTCGAATAGATATTCAAATTGCGTCTGTGTCTTTATGCTGGTCATTTTACTCGGTGGTATGCAGAAACGTAGACCACACGAAAGAGCCTGTAGTTGAAGTTCATTCGTTTAACCGGAGACAAATTCTTCACAAACCTTTCTGGTTGTTTCGGAAAATTTGGTTCGACTAACTTGTGGACGATGGAATTCTGAAGCTTGTTGAATGTACAAAGTTTGGCTTCTCGTATGTTTTCCATGCACAAGTTGGTAAATTTGATTCGGCTAACGAGGCTCAGTTCGTCAAGAATTATTGATCATTCGATGCACGTGGTCTGAAGTGTCGTTAGATTTTCTTTATAATCATCAATCTGACATCGCATCAAACGTCTCAAATTCCTGGTAGAGGCACAGATTTTATTCCTCCGTAAGCGTTTGCAAAACGTAATCGGATATCTGTTGCAACGGGCACGTTGTTCCAGAAAATGAATACGGACTCGAGTTGTGGCAATTTCACATCTCAATCTGACTAGGTCATCGAGAGACCTGATGGTTGATTTCGGGAGACGAGATCTGAGGAAATTTAAACATGCTTTTCCCGAAATAATCTTGGAAAGAAAAGCCACAGTTGCAACATTGCACGATTCGTGTCCGGGACGATTTCGCTGCATCTGAACATGGTGCACACTGCACAACCATACTGTTTATATAAGTTCATGTAAAACCATAATTTTCGACAAATATAGGGGAAATTTCAATAGTCAAGTTACGTCACCATGATAAAGACACATGAACAAAGAGCTGTTTGTGCTGACACAATATTAGGTTTCCATGAATGTATGGCAATGGTTTGAACAAACCTCAAAAGCCTGGTATTCTTTGCCACGTAAATGACCCGAAACGCAGTGCTTCGGTCAGCTGGATGCTGCGTCATCAGAAGATGACGAGCGACGGCCGACGGCCGACGGCCGACAGCCGACGACGGGATCTTATGGTTTCGAACGTTGTCATTATGCCTTTGATCTGACCCCGATTGCATCACAAAACGTTGTACCCAATTTGGAATATATTCAATCACTCGGTTACGTAACTGGCGCTCTGTTCGACCCACGTACGTTGCTCCGCAACTACACTGAAATTGGTAAATCAGATTCGATTTGGTGTACAGAGGTGGACGTTGTTTCACCGAGGGTGTGGGGATCTCAATCGTTCGATGAATAATTCTGAGGTCAGGTGCATAATATTTGTTTTGGGCAAGCGCTGATCCAAGTGGTCGTTTGAGCAAGCAATTGATGTCATCACGTTTGAATGGAAGACAAAGGGTGACTAGTAGTTTTTCTGCTGAACAATTCGTTTGTCTGATCAATTTAGGCTTGCTGTGCTTTTCGATAAACGCATCGGGATAAGCGTTTCTAGTCAAAGATTCTTTCAGCTGTCGTAGTTCGTTGTCAATCATGTCTTATGTGCAGATATGTCGTGCTGTTTGAAATAGTGTTCGGACCAGACCACGTTCATATTCCACAGACACAAAGCTGTCAAATTGCAAGCATTGGCCTGTCCAAGTTTCTTTTCGGTAAACAGATCTGGCCATTGTTCCATCATTATTCCTAGTGATTTTAATGTCGAGGAAGTGCAGTGTATCTTCGATTTCTGTTTCCATCGTAAATCGTATATTCGGATGCAGGCGATCGAGTTTATCCATAATCCATGTTGTCTCTTCTAGACTTATTGTGATGACTAGAACATGATCAACGTATCGTTTGTAAAGTTGTGAACGTTCGAGGATTTTGCTCGCCTTTTCCTCAAGATGAGCCAAAAACATATGTGCCAGAATGGGGCTCAATGGAGTTCCGATTGCGACACCGTCAATTTGTCTGTAAGCCCAACCAAGGAAGGAGAACGATACGTTTGTTGTGCACAGTAGTAATTGTCGTACCAGAACTGATACTGGTATACCGATTTTCAGTTCGTTTTGCTCCACATGATCACACATGATACGTATGACCTCCCGACCGGGAACATTCGTAAACAGTGATTGGAAATCAAATGAAGCCATGTGCTTCCCTTTCACATTGATCTGGTCCAAAAGCTTTACCACTTCGAAACTGTCTTTTTTATAGTGTGTCTGACCATTGATTTATGAACTGGCTCAAGCACTTTCTTCAGCCATTTGGCCAATTCGTGTTGTGGTGAATTTGTCATAGATAGTAGTAGTATTGGTCCAAGTGGCACTCCGGGTTTGTTTGATTTCGGTAAACCATACAGTTGTGCACTTCGAGTTCCTTTTGGCTTCAGATGGTGAGCTGTGCTTTCATCGATGAAGTGTCCTTCTAGTAGAAACTGTACTGCGGTCGATATCTGTTGTTCTAGTTCTTTAGGGTCTTCACAGTCATCTTCGAGTACAAACTTGCTGGGATCATGAAGAACACTTTCCATCTTCTTCTCATAATCATTCCGATCGATCAGCACTGCTCCGGACCCCTTGTTAGGGCGTAAAACTAACAAATCAGGTCACAACTGTAGCTCTTCAATGGCGGATGTGAATGTGCTCAGGCGTGAAGAGTGACTTATGTTTGGACGATGTCATCCGGTACTGTCGTTCCAAGTCAACCAGCTTTGCTTTGAACCAAGTCTCCGCATCTTTTGAAGTTCGTTTGACTAATTGTAGTTGTTCGAATAGATATTCAAATTGCGCCTGTGTCTTTATGCTGGTCATTTTACTCGGTCGTATGCAGAAACGTAGACCACACGAAAGAGCCTGTAGTTGAAGTTCATTCGTTTAACCGGAGACAAATTCATCACAAACCTTTCTGGTTGTTTCGGAAAATTTGGTTCGACTAACTTGTGGACGATGGAATTCTGAAGCTTGTTGAATGTACAAAGTTTGGCTTCTCGTATGTTTTCCATGCACAAGTTGGTAAATTTGATTCGGCTAACGAGGCTCAGTTCGTCAAGAATTATTGATCATTCGATGCACGTGGTCTGAAGTGTCGTTAGATTTTCTTTATAATCATCAATCTGACATCGCATCAAACGTCTCAAATTCCTGGTAGAGGCACAGATTTTATTCCTCCGTAAGCGTTTGCAAAACGTAATCGGATATATGTTGCAACGGGCACGTTGTTCCAGAAAATGAATACGGACTCGAGTTGCGGCAATTTCACATCTCAATCTGACTAAATCATCGAGAGACCTAATGGTTGATTTCGGGAGACGAGATCCGAGGAAATTTAAACATGCTTTTCCCGAAATAGTCTTGAAAAGAAAAGCCACAGTTGCAACATTGCACGATTCGTGTCCGGGACGATTTCGCTGCATCTGAACATGGTGCACACTGCACAACCATACTGTTTATATAAGTTCATGTAAAACCATAATTTTCGACAAATATAGGGGAAATTTCAATAGTCAAGTTACGTCACCATGATAAAGACACATGAACAAAGAGCTGTTTGTGCTGACACAATATTAGGTTTCCATGAATGTATGGCAATGGTTTGAACAAACCTCAAAAGCCTGGTATTCTTTGCCACGTAAATGACCCGAAACGCAGTGCTTCGGTCAGCTGGATGTTGCGTCATCAGAAGATGACGAGCGACGGCCGACGGCCGACGGCCGACAGCCGACGACGGGATCTTATGGTTTCGAACGTTGTCATTATGCCTTTGATCTGACCCTGATTGCATCACAAAACGTTGTACCCAATTTCGAATATATTCAATCACTCGGTTACGTAACTGGCGCTCTGTTCGACCCACGTAGGTTGCTCCGCAACTACACTGAAATTGGTAAATCAGATTCGATTTGGTGTACAGAGGTGGACGTTGTTTCACCGAGGGTGTGGGGATCTCAATCGTTCGATGAATAATTCTGAGGTCAGGTGCATAATATTTGTTTTGGGCAAGCGCTGATCCAAGTGGTCGTTTGAGCAAGCAATTGATGTAATCACGTATGAATGGAAGACAAAGGGTGACTAGTAGTTTTTCTGCTGAACAATTCGTTTGTCTGATCAATTTAGGCTTGCTGTGCTTTTCGATAAACGCATCGGGATAAGCGTTTCCAGTCAAAGATTCTTTCAGCTGTCGTAGTTCGTTGTCAATCATGTCTTCTGTGCAGATATGTCGTGCTGTTTGAAATAGTGTTCGGACCAGACCACGTTCATATTCCACAGACACAAAGCTGTCAAATTGCAAGCATTGGCCTGTCCAAGTTTCTTTTCGGTAAACAGATCTGGCCATTGTTCCATCATTATTCCTAGTCATTTTAATGTCGAGGAAGTGCAGTGTATCTTCGATTTCTGTTTCCATCGTAAATCGTATATTCGGATGCAGGCGATCGAGTTTATCCATAATCCATGTTGTCTCTTCTAGACTTATTGTGATGACTAGAACATGATCAACGTATCGTTTGTAAAGTTGTGAACGTTCGAGGATTTTGCTCGCCTTTTCCTCAAGATGAGCCAAAAACATATGTGCCAGAATGGGGCTCAATGGAGTTCCGATTGCGACACCGTCAATTTGTCTGTAAGCCCAACCAAGGAAGGAGAACGATACGTTTGTTGTGCACAGTAGTAATTGTCGTACCAGAACTGATACTGGTATACCGATTTTCAGTTCGTTTTGCTCCACATGATCACACATGATACGTATGACCTCCCGACCGGGAACATTCGTAAACAGTGATTGGAAATCAAATGAAGCCATGTGCTTCCCTTTCACATTGATCTGGTCCAAAAGCTTTACCACTTCGAAACTGTCTTTTTTATAGTGTGTCTGACCATTGATTTATGAACTGGCTCAAGCAATTTCTCCAGCCATTTGGCCAATTCGTGTTGTGGTGAATTTGTCATAGATAGTAGTAGTATTGGTCCAAGTGGCACTCCGGGTTTGTTTAGTTTCGGTAAACCATACAGTTGTGCACTTCGAGTTCCTTTTGGCTTCAGATGGTGAGCTGTGCTTTCATCGATGAAGTGTCCTTCTAGTAGAAACTGTACTGCTGTCGATATCTGTTGTTCTAGTTCTTTAGGGTCTTCACAGTCATCTTCGAGTACAAACTTGCTGGGATCATGAAGAACACTTTCCATCTTCTTCTCATAATCATTCCGATCGATCAGCACTGCTCCGGACCCCTTGTTAGGGCGTAAAACTAACAAATCAGGTCACAACTGTAGCTCTTCAATGGCGGATGTGAATGTGCTCAGGCGTGAAGAGTGACTTATGTTTGGACGATGTCATCCGGTACTGTCGTTCCAAGTCAACCAGCTTTGCTTTGAACCAAGTCTCCGCATCTTTTGAAGTTCGTTTGACTAATTGTAGTTGTTCGAATAGATATTCAAATTGCGCCTGTGTCTTTATGCTGGTCATTTTACTCGGTGGTATGCAGAAACGTAGACCACACGAAAGAGCCTGTAGTTGAAGTTCATTCGTTTAACCGGAGACAAATTCTTCACAAACATTTCTGGTTGTTTCGGAAAATTTGGTTCGACTAACTTGTGGACGATGGAATTCTGAAGCTTGTTGAATGTACAAAGTTTGGCTTCTCGTATGTTTTCCATGCACAAGTTGGTAATTTTGATTCGGCTAACGAGGCTCAGTTCGTCAAGAATTATTGATCATTCGATGCACGTGGTCTGAAGTGTCGTTAGATTTTCTTTATAATCATCAATCTGACATCGCATCAAACGTCTCAAATTCCTGGTAGAGGCACAGATTTTATTCCTCCGTAAGCGTTTGCAAAACGTAATCGGATATCTGTTGCAACGGGCACGTTGTTCCAGAAAATGAATACGGACTCGAGTTGTGGCAATTTCACATCTCAATCTGACTAGGTCATCGAGAGACCTAATGGTTGATTTCGGGAGACGAGATCTGAGGAAATTTAAACATGCTTTTCCCGAAATAGTCTTGAAAAGAAAAGCCACAGTTGCAACATTGCACGATTCGTGTCCGGGACGATTTCGCTGCATCTGAACATGGTGCACACTGCACAACCATACTGTTTATATAAGTTCATGTAAAACCATAATTTTCGACAAATATAGGGGAAATTTCAATAGTCAAGTTACGTCACTATGATAAAGACACATGAACAAAGAGCTGTTTGTGCTGACACAATATTAGGTTTCCATGAATGTATGGGAATGGTTTGAACAAACCTCAAAAGCCTGGTATTCTTTGCCACGTAAATGACCCGAAACGCAGTGCTTCGGTCAGCTGGATGTTGCGTCATCAGAAGATGACGAGCGACGGCCGACGACCGACGGCCGACAGCCGACGACGGGATCTTATGGTTTCGAACGTTGTCATTATGCCTTTGATCTGACCCTGATTGCATCACAAAACGTTGTACCCAATTTCGAATATATTCAATCACTCGGTTACGTAACTGGCGCTCTGTTCGACCCACGTAGGTTGCTCCGCAACTACACTGAAATTGGTAAATCAGATTCGATTTGGTGTACAGAGGTGGACGTTGTTTCACCGAGGGTGTGGGGATCTCAATCGTTCGATGAATAATTCTGAGGTCAGGTGCATACTATTTGTTTTGGGCAAGCGCTGATCCAAGTGGTCGTTTGAGCAAGCAATTGATGTCATCACGTTTGAATGGAAGACGAAGGGTGACTAGTAGTTTTTCTGCTGAACAATTCGTTTGTCTGATCAATTTAGGCTTGCTGTGCTTTTCGATAAACGCATCGGGATAAGCGTTTCCAGTCAAAGATTCTTTCAGCTGTCGTAGTTCGTTGTCAATCATGTCTTATGTGCAGATATGTCGTGCTGTTTGAAATAGTGTTCGGACCAGACCACGTTCATATTCCACAGACACAAAGCTGTCAAATTGCAAGCATTGGCCTGTCCAAGTTTCTTTTCGGTAAACAGATCTGGCCATTGTTCCATCATTATTCCTAGTGATTTTAATGTCGAGGAAGTGCAGTGTATCTTCGATTTCTGTTTCCATCGTAAATCGTATATTCGGATGCAGGCGATCGAGTTTATCCATAATCCATGTTGTCTCTTCTAGACTTATTGTGATGACTAGAACATGATCAACGTATCGTTTGTAAAGTTGTGAACGTTCGAGGATTTTGCTCGCCTTTTCCTCAAGATGAGCCAAAAACATATGTGCCAGAATGGGGCTCAATGGAGTTCCGATTGCGACACCGTCAATTTGTCTGTAAGCCCAACCAAGGAAGGAGAACGATACGTTTGTTGTGCACAGTAGTAATTGTCGTACCAGAACTGATACTGGTATACCGATTTTCAGTTCGTTTTGCTCCACATGATCACACATGATACGTATGACCTCCCGACCGGGAACATTCGTAAACAGTGATTGGAAATCAAATGAAGCCATGTGCTTCCCTTTCACATTGATCTGGTCCAAAAGCTTTACCACTTCGAAACTGTCTTTTTTATAGTGTGTCTGACCATTGATTTATGAACTGGCTCAAGCAATTTCTCCAGCCATTTGGCCAATTCGTGTTGTGGTGAATTTGTCATAGATAGTAGTAGTATTGGTCCAAGTGGCACTCCGGGTTTGTTTACTTTCGGTAAACCATACAGTTGTGCACTTCGAGTTCCTTTTGGCTTCAGATGGTGAGCTGTGCTTTCATCGATGAAGTGTCCTTCTAGTAGAAACTGTACTGCTGTCGATATCTGTTGTTCTAGTTCTTTAGGGTCTTCACAGTCATCTTCGAGTACAAACTTGCTGGGATCATGAAGAACACTTTCCATCTTCTTCTCATAATCATTCCGATCGATCAGCACTGCTCCGGACCCCTTGTTAGGGCGTAAAACTAACAAATCAGGTCACAACTGTAGCTCTTCAATGGCGGATGTGAATGTGCTCAGGCGTGAAGAGTGACTTATGTTTGGACGATGTCATCCGGTACTGTCGTTCCAAGTCAACCAGCTTTGCTTTGAACCAAGTCTCCGCATCTTTTCAAGTTCGTTTGACTAATTGTAGTTGTTCGAATAGATATTCAAATTGCGCCTGTGTCTTTATGCTGGTCGTTTTACTCGGTGGTATGCAGAAACGTAGACCACACGAAAGAGCCTGTAGTTGAAGTTCATTCGTTTAACCGGAGACAAATTCTTCACACACCTTTCTGGTTGTTTCGGAAAATTTGGTTCGACTAACTTGTGGACGATGGAATTCTGAAGCTTGTTGAATGTACAAAGTTTGGCTTCTCGTATGTTTTCCATGCACAAGTTGGTAAATTTGATTCGGCTAACGAGGCTCAGTTCGTCAAGAATTATTGATCATTCGATGCACGTGGTCTGAAGTGTCGTTAGATTTTCTTTATAATCATCAATCTGACATCGCATCAAACGTCTCAAATTCCTGGTAGAGGCACAGATTTTATTCCTCCGTAAGCGTTGGCAAAACGTAATCGGATATATGTTGCAACGGGCACGTTGTTCCAGAAAATGAATACGGACTCGAGTTGTGGCAATTTCACATCTCAATCTGACTAGGTCATCGAGAGACCTGATGGTTGCTTTCGGGAGACGAGATCTGAGGAAATTTGAACATGCATTTCCCGAAATAATCTTGAAAAGAAAAGCCACAGTTGCAACATTGCACGATTCGTGTCCGGGACGATTTCGCTGCATCTGAACATGGTGCACACTGTACAACCATACTGTTTATATAAGTTCATGTAAAACCATAATTTTCGACAAATATAGGGGAAATTTCAATAGTCAAGTTACGTCACCATGATAATGACACATGAACAAAGAGCTGTTTGTGCTGACACAATATTAGGTTTCCATGAATGTATGGCAATGGTTTGAACAAACCTCAAAAGCCTGGTATTCTTTGCCACGTAAATGACCCGAAACGCAGTGCTTCGGTCAGCTGGATGTTGCGTCATCAGAAGATGACGAGCGACGGCCGACGGCCGACGGCCGACGGCCGACAGCCGACGACGGGATCTTATGGTTTCGAACGTTGTCATTATGCCTTTGATCTGACCCCGATTGCATCACAAAACGTTGTACCCAATTTGGAATATATTCAATCACTCGGTTACGTAACTGGCGCTCTGTTCGACCCACGTACGTTGCTCCGCAACTACACTGAAATTGGTAAATCAGATTCGATTTGGTGTACAGAGGTGGACGTTGTTTCACCGAGGGTGTGGGGATCTCAATCGTTCGATGAATAATTCTGAGGTCAGGTGCATAATATTTGTTTTGGGCAAGCGCTGATCCAAGTGGTCGTTTGAGCAAGCAATTGATGTCATCACGTATGAATGGAAGACAAAGGGTGACTAGTAGTTTTTCTGCTGAACAATTCGTTTGTCTGATCAATTTAGGCTTGCTGTGCTTTTCGATAAACGCATCGGGATAAGCGTTTCTAGTCAAAGATGCTTTCAGCTGTCGTAGTTCGTTGTCAATCATGTCTTCTGTGCAGATATGTCGTGCTGTTTGAAATAGTGTTCGGACCAGACCACGTTCATATTCCACAGACACAAAGCTGTCAAATTGCAAGCATTGGCCTGTCCAGGTTTCTTTTCGGTAAACAGATCTGGCCATTGTTCCATCATTATTCCTAGTCATTTTAATGTCGAGGAAGTGCAGTGTATCTTCGATTTCTGTTTCCATCGTAAATCGTATATTCGGATGCAGGCGATCGAGTTTATCCATAATCCATGTTGTCTCTTCTAGACTTATTGTGATGACTAGAACATGATCAACGTATCGTTTGTAAAGTTGTGAACGTTCGAGGATTTTGCTCGCCTTTTCCTCAAGATGAGCCAAAAACATATGTGCCAGAATGGGGCTCAATGGAGTTCCAATTGCGACACCGTCAATTTGTCTGTAAGCCCAACCAAGGAAGGAGAACGATACGTTTGTTGTGCACAGTAGTAATTGTCGTACCAGAACTGATACTGGTATACCGATTTTCAGTTCGTTTTGCTCCACATGATCACACATGATACGTATGACCTCCCGACCGGGAACATTCGTAAACAGTGATTGGAAATCAAATGAAGCCATGTGCTTCCCTTTCACATTGATCTGGTCCAAAAGCTTTACCACTTCGAAACTGTCTTTTTTATAGTGTGTCTGACCATTGATTTATGAACTGGCTCAAGCAATTTCTCCAGCCATTTGGCCAATTCGTGTTGTGGTGAATTTGCCATAGATAGTAGTAGTATTGGTCCAAGTGGCACTCCGGGTTTGTTTACTTTCGGTAAACCATACAGTTGTGCACTTCGAGTTCCTTTTGGCTTCAGATGGTGAGCTGTGCTTTCATCGATGAAGTGTCCTTCTAGTAGAAACTGTACTGCTGTCGATATCTGTTGTTCTAGTTCTTTAGGGTCTTCACAGTCATCTTCGAGTACAAACTTGCTGGGATCATGAAGAACACTTTCCATCTTCTTCTCATAATCATTCCGATCGATCAGCACTGCTCCGGACCCCTTGTTAGGGCGTAAAACTAACAAATCAGGTCACAACTGTAGCTCTTCAATGGCGGATGTGAATGTGCTCAGGCGTGAAGAGTGACTTATGTTTGGACGATGTCATCCGGTACTGTCGTTCCAAGTCAACCAGCTTTGCTTTGAACCAAGTCTCCGCATCTTTTCAAGTTCGTTTGACTAATTGTAGTTGTTCGAATAGATATTCAAATTGCGCCTGTGTCTTTATGCTGGTCATTTTACTCGGTGGTATGCAGAAACGTAGACCACACGAAAGAGCCTGTAGTTGAAGTTCATTCGTTTAACCGGAGACAAATTCTTCACACACCTTTCTGGTTGTTTCGGAAAATTTGGTTCGACTAACTTGTGGACGATGGAATTCTGAAGCTTGTTGAATGTACAAAGTTTGGCTTCTCGTATGTTTTCCATGCACAAGTTGGTAATTTTGATTCGGCTAACGAGGCTCAGTTCGTCAAGAATTATTGATCATTCGATGCACGTGGTCTGAAGTGTCGTTAGATTTTCTTTATAATCATCAATCTGACATCGCATCAAACGTCTCAAATTCCTGGTAGAGGCACAGATTTTATTCCTCCGTAAGCGTTTGCAAAACGTAATCGGATATCTGTTGCAACGGGCACGTTGTTCCAGAAAATGAATACGGACTCGAGTTGTGGCAATTTCACATCTCAATCTGACTAGGTCATCGAGAGACCTAATGGTTGATTTCGGGAGACGAGATCTGAGGAAATTTAAACATGCTTTTCCCGAAATAATCTTGAAAAGAAAAGCCACAGTTGCAACATTGCACGATTCGTGTCCGGGACGATTTCGCTGCATCTGAACATGGTGCACACTGTACAACCATACTGTTTATATAAGTTCATGTAAAACCATAATTTTCGACAAATATAGGGGAAATTTCAATAGTCAAGTTACGTCACCATGATAAAGACACATGAACAAAGAGCTGTTTGTGCTGACACAATATTAGGTTTCCATGAATGTATGGCAATGGTTTGAACAAACCTCAAAAGCCTGGTATTCTTTGCCACGTAAATGACCCGAAACGCAGTGCTTCGGTCAGCTGGATGTTGCGTCATCAGAAGATGACGAGCGACGGCCGACGGCCGACGGCCGACAGCCGACGACGGGATCTTATGGTTTCGAACGTTGTCATTATGCCTTTGATCTGACCCCGATTGCATCACAAAACGTTGTACCCAATTTGGAATATATTCAATCACTCGGTTACGTAACTGGCGCTCTGTTCGACCCACGTAGGTTGCTCCGCAACTACACTGAAATTGGTAAATCAGATTCGATTTGGTGTACAGAGGTGGACGTTGTTTCACCGAGGGTGTGGGGATCTCAATCGTTCGATGAATAATTCTGAGGTCAGGTGCATAATATTTGTTTTGGGCAAGCGCTGATCCAAGTGGTCGTTTGAGCAAGCAATTGATGTCATCACGTTTGAATGGAAGACAAAGGGTGACTAGTAGTTTTTCTGCTGAACAATTCGTTTGTCTGATCAATTTAGGCTTGCTGTGCTTTTCGATAAACGCATCGGGATAAGCGTTTCCAGTCAAAGATTCTTTCAGCTGTCGTAGTTCGTTGTCAATCATGTCTTCTGTGCAGATATGTCGTGCTGTTTGAAATAGTGTTCGGACCAGACCACGTTCATATTCCACAGACACAAAGCTGTCAAATTGCAAGCATTGGCCTGTCCAAGTTTCTTTTCGGTAAACAGATCTGGCCATTGTTCCATCATTATTCCTAGTCATTTTAATGTCGAGGAAGTGCAGTGTATCTTCGATTTCTGTTTCCATCGTAAATCGTATATTCGGATGCAGGCGATCGAGTTTATCCATAATCCATGTTGTCTCTTCTAGACTTATTGTGATGACTAGAACATGATCAACGTATCGTTTGTAAAGTTGTGAACGTTCGAGGATTTTGCTCGCCTTTTCCTCAAGATGAGCCAAAAACAGATGTGCCAGAATGGGGCTCAATGGAGTTCCGATTGCGACACCGTCAATTTGTCTGTAAGCCCAACCAAGGAAGGAGAACGATACGTTTGTTGTGCACAGTAGTAATTGTCGTACCAGAACTGATACTGGTATACCGATTTTCAGTTCGTTTTGCTCCACATGATCACACATGATACGTATGACCTCCCGACCGGGAACATTCGTAAACAGTGATTGGAAATCAAATGAAGCCATGTGCTTCCCTTTCACATTGATCTGGTCCAAAAGCTTTACCACTTCGAAACTGTCTTTTTTATAGTGTGTCTGACCATTGATTTATGAACTGGCTCAAGCAATTTCTCCAGCCATTTGGCCAATTCGTGTTGTGGTGAATTTGTCATAGATAGTAGTAGTATTGGTCCAAGTGGCACTCCGGGTTTGTTTAGTTTCGGTAAACCATACAGTTGTGCACTTCGAGTTCCTTTTGGCTTCAGATGGTGAGCTGTGCTTTCATCGATGAAGTGTCCTTCTAGTAGAAACTGTACTGCTGTCGATATCTGTTGTTCTAGTTCTTTAGGGTCTTCACAGTCATCTTCGAGTACAAACTTGCTGGGATCATGAAGAACACTTTCCATCTTCTTCTCATAATCATTCCGATCGATCAGCACTGCTCCGGACCCCTTGTTAGGGCGTAAAACTAACAAATCAGGTCACAACTGTAGCTCTTCAATGGCGGATGTGAATGTGCTCAGGCGTGAAGAGTGACTTATGTTTGGACGATGTCATCCGGTACTGTCGTTCCAAGTCAACCAGCTTTGCTTTGAACCAAGTCTCCGCATCTTTTGAAGTTCGTTTGACTAATTGTAGTTGTTCGAATAGATATTCAAATTGCGCCTGTGTCTTTATGCTGGTCATTTTACTCGGTGGTATGCAGAAACGTAGACCACACGAAAGAGCTTGTAGTTGAAGTTCATTCGTTTAACCGGAGACAAATTCATCACAAACCTTTCTGGTTGTTTCGGAAAATTTGGTTCGACTAACTTGTGGACGATGGAATTCTGAAGCTTGTTGAATGTACAAAGTTTGGCTTCTCGTATGTTTTCCATGCACAAGTTGGTAAATTTGATTCGGCTAACGAGGCTCAGTTCGTCAAGAATTATTGATCATTCAATGCACGTGGTCTGAAGTGTCGTTAGATTTTCTTTATAATCATCAATCTGACATCGCATCAAACGTCTCAAATTCCTGGTAGAGGCACAGATTTTATTCCTCCGTAAGCGTTTGCAAAACGTAATCGGATATCTGTTGCAACGGGCACGTTGTTCCAGAAAATGAATACGGACTCGAGTTGTGGCAATTTCACATCTCAATCTGACTAGGTCATCGAGAGACCTGATGGTTGATTTCGGGAGACGAGATCTGAGGAAATTTAAACATGCTTTTCCCGAAATAGTCTTGAAAAGAAAAGCCACAGTTGCAACATTGCACGATTCGTGTCCGGGACGATTTCGCTGCATCTGAACATGGTGCACACTGCACAACCATACTGTTTATATAAGTTCATGTAAAACCATAATTTTCGACAAATATAGGGGAAATTTCAATAGTCAAGTTACGTCACCATGATAAAGACACATGAACAAAGAGCTGTTTGTGCTGACACAATATTAGGTTTCCATGAATGTATGGGAATGGTTTGAACAAACCTCAAAAGCCTGGTATTCTTTGCCACGTAAATGACCCGAAACGCAGTGCTTCGGTCAGCTGGATGTTGCGTCATCAGAAGATGACGAGCGACGGCCGACGGCCGACGGCCGACAGCCGACGACGGGATCTTATGGTTTCGAACGTTGTCATTATGCCTTTGATCTGACCCCGATTGCATCACAAAACGTTGTACCCAATTTGGAATATATTCAATCACTCGGTTACGTAACTGGCGCTCTGTTCGACCCACGTAGGTTGCTCCGCAACTACACTGAAATTGGTAAATCAGATTCGATTTGGTGTACAGAGGTGGACGTTGTTTCACCGAGGTTGTGGGGATCTCAATCGTTCGATGAATAATTCTGAGGTCAGGTGCATAATATTTGTTTTGGGCAAGCGCTGATCCAAGTGGTCGTTTGAGCAAGCAATTGATGTCATCACGTATGAATGGAAGACAAAGGGTGACTAGTAGTTTTTCTGCTGAACAATTCGTTTGTCTGATCAATTTAGGCTTGCTGTGCTTTTCGATAAACGCATCGGGATAAGCGTTTCTAGTCAAAGATTCTTTCAGCTGTCGTAGTTCGTTGTCAATCATGTCTTCTGTGCAGATATGTCGTGCTGTTTGAAATAGTGTTCGGACCAGACCACGTTCATATTCCACAGACACAAAGCTGTCAAATTTCAAGCATTGGCCTGTCCAAGTTTCTTTTCGGTAAACAGATCTGGCCATTGTTCCATCATTATTCCTAGTCATTTTAATGTCGAGGAAGTGCAGTGTATCTTCGATTTCTGTTTCCATCGTAAATCGTATATTCGGATGCAGGCGATCGAGTTTATCCATAATCCATGTTGTCTCTTCTAGACTTATTGTGATGACTAGAACATGATCAACGTATCGTTTGTAAAGTTGTGAACGTTCGAGGATTTTGCTCGCCTTTTCCTCAAGATGAGCCAAAAACATATGTGCCAGAATGGGGCTCAATGGAGTTCCAATTGCGACACCGTCAATTTGTCTGTAAGCCCAACCAAGGAAGGAGAACGATACGTTTGTTGTGCACAGTAGTAATTGTCGTACCAGAACTGATACTGGTATACCGATTTTCAGTTCGTTTTGCTCCACATGATCACACATGATACGTATGACCTCCCGACCGGGAACATTCGTAAACAGTGATTGGAAATCAAATGAAGCCATGTGCTTCCCTTTCACATTGATCTGGTCCAAAAGCTTTACCACTTTGAAACTGTCTTTTTTATAGTGTGTCTGACCATTGATTTATGAACTGGCTCAAGCACTTTCTTCAGCCATTTGGCCAATTCGTGTTGTGGTGAATTTGTCATAGATAGTAGTAGTATTGGTCCAAGTGGCACTCCGGGTTTGTTTAGTTTCGGTAAACCATACAGTTGTGCACTTCGAGTTCCTTTTGGCTTCAGATGGTGAGCTGTGCTTTCATCGATGAAGTGTCCTTCTAGTAGAAACTGTACTGCTGTCGATATCTGTTGTTCTAGTTCTTTAGGGTCTTCACAGTCATCTTCGAGTACAAACTTGCTGGGATCATGAAGAACACTTTCCATCTTCTTCTCATAATCATTCCGATCGATCAGCACTGCTCCGGACCCCTTGTTAGGGCGTAAAACTAACAAATCAGGTCATAACTGTAGCTCTTCAATGGCGGATGTGAATGTGCTCAGGCGTGAAGAGTGACTTATGTTTGGACGATGTCATCCGGTACTGTCGTTCCAAGTCAACCAGCTTTGCTTTGAACCAAGTCTCCGCATCTTTTCAAGTTCGTTTGACTAATTGTAGTTGTTCGAATAGATATTCAAATTGCGCCTGTGTCTTTATGCTGGTCATTTTACTCGGTGGTATGCAGAAACGTAGACCACACGAAAGAGCTTGTAGTTGAAGTTCATTCGTTTAACCGGAGACAAATTCTTCACAAACCTTTCTGGTTGTTTCGGAAAATTTGGTTCGACTAACTTGTGGACGATGGAATTCTGAAGCTTGTTGAATGTACAAAGTTTGGCTTCTCGTATGTTTTCCATGCACAAGTTGGTAAATTTGATTCGGCTAACGAGGCTCAGTTCGTCAAGAATTATTGATCATTCGATGCACGTGGTCTGAAGTGTCGTTAGATTTTCTTTATAATCATCAATCTGACATCGCATCAAACGTCTCAAATTCCCGGTAGAGGCACAGATTTTATTCCTCCGTAAGCGTTTGCAAAACGTAATCGGATATCTGTTGCAACGGGCACGTTGTTCCAGAAAATGAATACGGACTCGAGTTGTGGCAATTTCACATCTCAATCTGACTAGGTCATCGAGAGACCTAATGGTTGATTTCGGGAGACGAGATCTGAGGAAATTTAAACATGCTTTTCCCGAAATAGTCTTGAAAAGAAAAGCCACAGTTGCAACATTGCACGATTCGTGTCCGGGACGATTTCGCTGCATCTGAACATGGTGCACACTGCACAACCATACTGTTTATATAAGTTCATGTAAAACCATAATTTTCGACAAATATAGGGGAAATTTCAATAGTCAAGTTACGTCACCATGATAAAGACACATGAACAAAGAGCTGTTTGTGCTGACACAATATTAGGTTTCCATGAATGTATGGCAATGGTTTGAACAAACCACAAAAGCCCGGTATTCTTTGCCACGTAAATGACCCGAAACGCAGTGCTTCGGTCAGCTGGATGTTGCGTCATCAGAAGATGACGAGCGACGGCCGACGGCCGACGGCCGACGGCCGACAGCCGACGACGGGATCTTATGGTTTCGAACGTTGTCATTATGCCTTTGATCTGACCCTGATTGCATCACAAAACGTTGTACCCAATTTGGAATATATTCAACCACTCGGTTACGTAACTGGCGCTCTGTTCGACCCACGTAGGTTGCTCCGCAACTACACTGAAATTGGTAAATCAGATTCGATTTGGTGTACAGAGGTGGACGTTGTTTCACCGAGGTTGTGGGGATCTCAATCGTTCGATGAATAATTCTGAGGTCAGGTGCATAATATTTGTTTTGGGCAAGCGCTGATCCAAGTGGTCGTTTGAGCAAGCAATTGATGTCATCACGTATGAATGGAAGACAAAGGGTGACTAGTAGTTTTTCTGCTGAACAATTCGTTTGTCTGATCAATTTAGGCTTGCTGTGCTTTTCGATAAACGCATCGGGATAAGCGTTTCTAGTCAAAGATGCTTTCAGCTGTCGTAGTTCGTTGTCAATCATGTCTTCTGTGCAGATATGTCGTGCTGTTTGAAATAGTGTTCGGACCAGACCACGTTCATATTCCACAGACACAAAGCTGTCAAATTGCAAGCATTGGCCTGTCCAGGTTTCTTTTCGGTAAACAGATCTGGCCATTGTTCCATCATTATTCCTAGTCATTTTAATGTCGAGGAAGTGCAGTGTATCTTCGATTTCTGTTTCCATCGTAAATCGTATATTCGGATGCAGGCGATCGAGTTTATCCATAATCCATGTTGTCTCTTCTAGACTTATTGTGATGACTAGAACATGATCAACGTATCGTTTGTAAAGTTGTGAACGTTCGAGGATTTTGCTCGCCTTTTCCTCAAGATGAGCCAAAAACAGATGTGCCAGAATGGGGCTCAATGGAGTTCCGATTGCGACACCGTCAATTTGTCTGTAAGCCCAACCAAGGAAGGAGAACGATACGTTTGTTGTGCACAGTAGTAATTGTCGTACCAGAACTGATACTGGTATACCGATTTTCAGTTCGTTTTGCTCCACATGATCACACATGATACGTATGACCTCCCGACCGGGAACATTCGTAAACAGTGATTGGAAATCAAATGAAGCCATGTGCTTCCCTTTCACATTGATCTGGTCCAAAAGCTTTACCACTTTGAAACTGTCTTTTTTATAGTGTGTCTGACCATTGATTTATGAACTGGCTCAAGCAATTTCTCCAGCCACTTGGCCAATTCGTGTTGTGGTGAATTTGCCATAGATAGTAGTAGTATTGGTCCAAGTGGCACTCCGGGTTTGTTTAGTTTCGGTAAACCATACAGTTGTGCACTTCGAGTTCCTTTTGGCTTCAGATGGTGAGCTGTGCTTTCATCGATGAAGTGTCCTTCTAGTAGAAACTGTACTGCTGTCGATATCTGTTGTTCTAGTTCTTTAGGGTCTTCACAGTCATCTTCGAGTACAAACTTGCTGGGATCATGAAGAACACTTTCCATCTTCTTCTCATAATCATTCCGATCGATCAGCACTGCTCCGGACCCCTTGTTAGGGCGTAAAACTAACAAATCAGGTCATAACTGTAGCTCTTCAATGGCGGATGTGAATGTGCTCAGGCGTGAAGAGTGACTTATGTTTGGACGATGTCATCCGGTACTGTCGTTCCAAGTCAACCAGCTTTGCTTTGAACCAAGTCTCCGCATCTTTTCAAGTTCGTTTGACTAATTGTAGTTGTTCGAATAGATATTCAAATTGCGCCTGTGTCTTTATGCTGGTCATTTTACTCGGTGGTATGCAGAAACGTAGACCACACGAAAGAGCCTGTAGTTGAAGTTCATTCGTTTAACCGGAGGCAAATTCATCACAAACCTTTCTGGTTGTTTCGGAAAATTTGGTTCGACTAACTTGTGGACGATGGAATTCTGAAGCTTGTTGAATGTACAAAGTTTGGCTTCTCGTATGTTTTCCATGCACAAGTTGGTAAATTTGATTCGGCTAACGAGGCTCAGTTCGTCAAGAATTATTGATCATTCGATGCACGTGGTCTGAAGTGTCGTTAGATTTTCTTTATAATCATCAATCTGACATCGCATCAAACGTCTCAAATTCCTGGTAGAGGCACAGATTTTATTCCTCCGTAAGCGTTTGCAAAACGTAATCGGATATCTGTTGCAACGGGCACGTTGTTCCAGAAAATGAATACGGACTCGAGTTGTGGCAATTTCACATCTCAATCTGACTAGGTCATCGAGAGACCTGATGGTTGATTTCGGGAGACGAGATCTGAGGAAATTTAAAGACGCTTTTCCCGAAATAATCTTGAAAAGAAAAGCCACAGTTGCAACATTGCACGATTCGTGTCCGGGACGATTTCGCTGCATCTGAACATGGTGCACACTGCACAACCATACTGTTTATATAAGTTCATGTAAAACCATAATTTTCGACAAATATAGGGGAAATTTCAATAGTCAAGTTACGTCACCATGATAAAGACACATGAACAAAGAGCTGTTTGTGCTGACACAATATTAGGTTTCCATGACTGTATGGCAATGGTTTGAACAAACCTCAAAAGCCTGGTATTCTTTGCCACGTAAATGACCCGAAACGCAGTGCTTCGGTCAGCTGGATGTTGCGTCATCAGAAGATGACGAGCGACGGCCGACGGCCGACGGCCGACAGCCGACGACGGGATCTTATGGTTTCGAACGTTGTCATTATGCCTTTGATCTGACCCTGATTGCATCACAAAACGTTGTACCCAATTTGGAATATATTCAATCACTCGGTTACGTAACTGGCGCTCTGTTCGACCCACGTACGTTGCTCCGCAACTACACTGAAATTGGTAAATCAGATTCGATTTGGTGTACAGAGGTGGACGTTGTTTCACCGAGGGTGTGGGGATCTCAATCGTTCGATGAATAATTCTGAGGTCAGGTGCATAATATTTGTTTTGGGCAAGCGCTGATCCAAGTGGTCGTTTGAGCAAGCAATTGATGTCATCACGTTTGAATGGAAGACAAAGGGTGACTAGTAGTTTTTCTGCTGAACAATTCGTTTGTCTGATCAATTTAGGCTTGCTGTGCTTTTCGATAAACGCATCGGGATAAGCGTTTCTAGTCAAAGATTCTTTCAGCTGTCGTAGTTCGTTGTCAATCATGTCTTCTGTGCAGATATGTCGTGCTGTTTGAAATAGTGTTCGGACCAGACCACGTTCATATTCCACAGACACAAAGCTGTCAAATTGCAAGCATTGGCCTGTCCAAGTTTCTTTTCGGTAAACAGATCTGGCCATTGTTCCATCATTATTCCTAGTCATTTTAATGTCGAGGAAGTGCAGTGTATCTTCGATTTCTGTTTCCATCGTAAATCGTATATTCGGATGCAGGCGATCGAGTTTATCCATAATCCATGTTGTCTCTTCTAGACTTATTGTGATGACTAGAACATGATCAACGTATCGTTTGTAAAGTTGTGAACGTTCGAGGATTTTGCTCGCCTTTTCCTCAAGATGAGCCAAAAACATATGTGCCAGAATGGGGCTCAATGGAGTTCCGATTGCGACACCGTCAATTTGTCTGTAAGCCCAACCAAGGAAGGAGAACGATACGTTTGTTGTGCACAGTAGTAATTGTCGTACCAGAACTGATACTGGTATACCGATTTTCAGTTCGTTTTGCTCCACATGATCACACATGATACGTATGACCTCCCGACCGGGAACATTCGTAAACAGTGATTGGAAATCAAATGAAGCCATGTGCTTCCCTTTCACATTGATCTGGTCCAAAAGCTTTACCACTTCGAAACTGTCTTTTTTATAGTGTGTCTGACCATTGATTTATGAACTGGCTCAAGCAATTTCTCCAGCCATTTGGCCAATTCGTGTTGTGGTGAATTTGTCATAGATAGTAGTAGTATTGGTCCAAGTGGCACTCCGGGTTTGTTTAGTTTCGGTAAACCATACAGTTGTGCACTTCGAGTTCCTTTTGGCTTCAGATGGTGAGCTGTGCTTTCATCGATGAAGTGTCCTTCTAGTAGAAACTGTACTGCTGTCGATATCTGTTGTTCTAGTTCTTTAGGGTCTTCACAGTCATCTTCGAGTACAAACTTGCTGGGATCATGAAGAACACTTTCCATCTTCTTCTCATAATCATTCCGATCGATCAGCACTGCTCCGGACCCCTTGTTAGGGCGTAAAACTAACAAATCAGGTCATAACTGTAGCTCTTCAATGGCGGATGTGAATGTGCTCAGGCGTGAAGAGTGACTTATGTTTGGACGATGTCATCCGGTACTGTCGTTCCAAGTCAACCAGCTTTGCTTTGAACCAAGTCTCCGCATCTTTTCAAGTTCGTTTGACTAATTGTAGTTGTTCGAATAGATATTCAAATTGCGCCTGTGTCTTTATGCTGGTCATTTTACTCGGTCGTATGCAGAAACGTAGACCACACGAAAGAGCCTGTAGTTGAAGTTCATTCGTTTAACCGGAGACAAATTCTTCACAAACCTTTCTGGTTGTTTCGGAAAATTTGGTTCGACTAACTTGTGGACGATGGAATTCTGAAGCTTGTTGAATGTACAAAGTTTGGCTTCTCGTATGTTTTCCATGCACAAGTTGGTAAATTTGATTCGGCTAACGAGGCTCAGTTCGTCAAGAATTATTGATCATTCGATGCACGTGGTCTGAAGTGTCGTTAGATTTTCTTTATAATCATCAATCTGACATCGCATCAAACGTCTCAAATTCCTGGTAGAGGCACAGATTTTATTCCTCCGTAAGCGTTTGCAAAACGTAATCGGATATCTGTTGCAACGGGCACGTTGTTCCAGAAAATGAATACGGACTCGAGTTGTGGCAATTTCACATCTCAATCTGACTAGGTCATCGAGAGACCTGATGGTTGATTTCGGGAGACGAGATCTGAGGAAATTTAAACATGCTTTTCCCGAAATAATCTTGAAAAGAAAAGCCACAGTTGCAACATTGCACGATTCGTGTCCGGGACGATTTCGCTGCATCTGAACATGGTGCACACTGCACAACCATACTGTTTATATAAGTTCATGTAAAACCATAATTTTCGACAAATATAGGGGAAATTTCAATAGTCAAGTTACGTCACCATGATAAAGACACATGAACAAAGAGCTGTTTGTGCTGACACAATATTAGGTTTCCATGAATGTATGGCAATGGTTTGAACAAACCTCAAAAGCCTGGTATTCTTTGCCACGTAAATGACCCGAAACGCAGTGCTTCGGTCAGCTGGATGTTGCGTCATCAGAAGATGACGAGCGACGGCCGACGGCCGACGGCCGACAGCCGACGACGGGATCTTATGGTTTCGAACGTTGTCATTATGCCTTTGATCTGACCCTGATTGCATCACAAAACGTTGTACCCAATTTCGAATATATTCAATCACTCGGTTACGTAACTGGCGCTCTGTTCGACCCACGTACGTTGCTCCGCAACTACACTGAAATTGGTAAATCAGATTCGATTTGGTGTACAGAGGTGGACGTTGTTTCACCGAGGGTGTGGGGATCTCAATCGTTCGATGAATAATTCTGAGGTCAGGTGCATACTATTTGTTTTGGGCAAGCGCTGATCCAAGTGGTCGTTTGAGCAAGCAATTGATGTCATCACGTATGAATGGAAGACAAAGGGTGACTAGTAGTTTTTCTGCTGAACAATTCGTTTGTCTGATCAATTTAGGCTTGCTGTGCTTTTCGATAAACGCATCGGGATAAGCGTTTCTAGTCAAAGATTCTTTCAGCTGTCGTAGTTCGTTGTCAATCATGTCTTCTGTGCAGATATGTCGTGCTGTTTGAAATAGTGTTCGGACCAGACCACGTTCATATTCCACAGACACAAAGCTGTCAAATTGCAAGCATTGGCCTGTCCAAGTTTCTTTTCGGTAAACAGATCTGGCCATTGTTCCATCATTATTCCTAGTCATTTTAATGTCGAGGAAGTGCAGTGTATCTTCGATTTCTGTTTCCATCGTAAATCGTATATTCGGATGCAGGCGATCGAGTTTATCCATAATCCATGTTGTCTCTTCTAGACTTATTGTGATGACTAGAACATGATCAACGTATCGTTTGTAAAGTTGTGAACGTTCGAGGATTTTGCTCGCCTTTTCCTCAAGATGAGCCAAAAACATATGTGCCAGAATGGGGCTCAATGGAGTTCCGATTGCGACACCGTCAATTTGTCTGTAAGCCCAACCAAGGAAGGAGAACGATACGTTTGTTGTGCACAGTAGTAATTGTCGTACCAGAACTGATACTGGTATACCGATTTTCAGTTCGTTTTGCTCCACATGATCACACATGATACGTATGACCTCCCGACCGGGAACATTCGTAAACAGTGATTGGAAATCAAATGAAGCCATGTGCTTCCCTTTCACATTGATCTGGTCCAAAAGCTTTACCACTTCGAAACTGTCTTTTTTATAGTGTGTCTGACCATTGATTTATGAACTGGCTCAAGCAATTTCTCCAGCCATTTGGCCAATTCGTGTTGTGGTGAATTTGTCATAGATAGTAGTAGTATTGGTCCAAGTGGCACTCCGGGTTTGTTTAGTTTCGTAAACCATACAGTTGTGCACTTCGAGTTCCTTTTGGCTTCAGATGGTGAGCTGTGCTTTCATCGATGAAGTGTCCTTCTAGTAGAAACTGTACTGCTGTCGATATCTGTTGTTCTAGTTCTTTAGGGTCTTCACAGTCATCTTCGAGTACAAACTTGCTGGGATCATGAAGAACACTTTCCATCTTCTTCTCATAATCATTCCGATCGATCAGCACTGCTCCGGACCCCTTGTTAGGGCGTAAAACTAACAAATCAGGTCATAACTGTAGCTCTTCAATGGCGGATGTGAATGTGCTCAGGCGTGAAGAGTGACTTATGTTTGGACGATGTCATCCGGTACTGTCGTTCCAAGTCAACCAGCTTTGCTTTGAACCAAGTCTCCGCATCTTTTCAAGTTCGTTTGACTAATTGTAGTTGTTCGAATAGATATTCAAATTGCGCCTGTGTCTTTATGCTGGTCATTTTACTCGGTCGTATGCAGAAACGTAGACCACACGAAAGAGCTTGTAGTTGAAGTTCATTCGTTTAACCGGAGACAAATTCTTCACAAACCTTTCTGGTTGTTTCGGAAAATTTGGTTCGACTAACTTGTGGACGATGGAATTCTGAAGCTTGTTGAATGTACAAAGTTTGGCTTCTCGTATGTTTTCCATGCACAAGTTGGTAAATTTGATTCGGCTAACGAGGCTCAGTTCGTCAAGAATTATTGATCATTCGATGCACGTGGTCTGAAGTGTCGTTAGATTTTCTTTATAATCATCAATCTGACATCGCATCAAACGTCTCAAATTCCTGGTAGAGGCACAGATTTTATTCCTCCGTAAGCGTTTGCAAAACGTAATCGGATATCTGTTGCAACGGGCACGTTGTTCCAGAAAATGAATACGGACTCGAGTTGTGGCAATTTCACATCTCAATCTGACTAGGTCATCGAGAGACCTAATGGTTGATTTCGGGAGACGAGATCTGAGGAAATTTAAACATGCTTTCCCCGAAATAGTCTTGAAAAGAAAAGCCACAGTTGCAACATTGCACGATTCGTGTCCGGGACGATTTCGCTGCATCTGAACATGGTGCACACTGCACAACCATACTGTTTATATAAGTTCATGTAAAACCATAATTTTCGACAAATATAGGGGAAATTTCAATAGTCAAGTTACGTCACCATGATAAAGACACATGAACAAAGAGCTGTTTGTGCTGACACAATATTAGGTTTCCATGAATGTATGGCAATGGTTTGAACAAACCACAAAAGCCCGGTATTCTTTGCCACGTAAATGACCCGAAACGCAGTGCTTCGGTCAGCTGGATGTTGCGTCATCAGAAGATGACGAGCGACGGCCGACGGCCGACGGCCGACAGCCGACGACGGGATCTTATGGTTTCGAACGTTGTCATTATGCCTTTGATCTGACCCTGATTGCATCACAAAACGTTGTACCCAATTTGGAATATATTCAATCACTCGGTTACGTAACTGGCGCTCTGTTCGACCCACGTACGTTGCTCCGCAACTACACTGAAATTGGTAAATCAGATTCGATTTGGTGTACAGAGGTGGACGTTGTTTCACCGAGGGTGTGGGGATCTCAATCGTTCGATGAATAATTCTGAGGTCAGGTGCATAATATTTGTTTTGGGCAAGCGCTGATCCAAGTGGTCGTTTGAGCAAGCAATTGATGTCATCACGTATGAATGGAAGACAAAGGGTGACTAGTAGTTTTTCTGCTGAACAATTCGTTTGTCTGATCAATTTAGGCTTGCTGTGCTTTTCGATAAACGCATCGGGATAAGCGTTTCTAGTCAAAGATGCTTTCAGCTGTCGTAGTTCGTTGTCAATCATGTCTTCTGTGCAGATATGTCGTGCTGTTTGAAATAGTGTTCGGACCAGACCACGTTCATATTCCACAGACACAAAGCTGTCAAATTGCAAGCATTGGCCTGTCCAGGTTTCTTTTCGGTAAACAGATCTGGCCATTGTTCCATCATTATTCCTAGTCATTTTAATGTCGAGGAAGTGCAGTGTATCTTCGATTTCTGTTTCCATCGTAAATCGTATATTCGGATGCAGGCGATCGAGTTTATCCATAATCCATGTTGTCTCTTCTAGACTTATTGTGATGACTAGAACATGATCAACGTATCGTTTGTAAAGTTGTGAACGTTCGAGGATTTTGCTCGCCTTTTCCTCAAGATGAGCCAAAAACATATGTGCCAGAATGGGGCTCAATGGAGTTCCGATTGCGACACCGTCAATTTGTCTGTAAGCCCAACCAAGGAAGGAGAACGATACGTTTGTTGTGCACAGTAGTAATTGTCGTACCAGAACTGATACTGGTATACCGATTTTCAGTTCGTTTTGCTCCACATGATCACACATGATACGTATGACCTCCCGACCGGGAACATTCGTAAACAGTGATTGGAAATCAAATGAAGCCATGTGCTTCCCTTTCACATTGATCTGGTCCAAAAGCTTTACCACTTTGAAACTGTCTTTTTTATAGTGTGTCTGACCATTGATTTATGAACTGGCTCAAGCAATTTCTCCAGCCATTTGGCCAATTCGTGTTGTGGTGAATTTGCCATAGATAGTAGTAGTATTGGTCCAAGTGGCACTCCGGGTTTGTTTAGTTTCGGTAAACCATACAGTTGTGCACTTCGAGTTCCTTTTGGCTTCAGATGGTGAGCTGTGCTTTCATCGATGAAGTGTCCTTCTAGTAGAAACTGTACTGCTGTCGATATCTGTTGTTCTAGTTCTTTAGGGTCTTCACAGTCATCTTCGAGTACAAACTTGCTGGGATCATGAAGAACACTTTCCATCTTCTTCTCATAATCATTCCGATCGATCAGCACTGCTCCGGACCCCTTGTTAGGGCGTAAAACTAACAAATCAGGTCATAACTGTAGCTCTTCAATGGCGGATGTGAATGTGCTCAGGCGTGAAGAGTGACTTATGTTTGGACGATGTCATCCGGTACTGTCGTTCCAAGTCAACCAGCTTTGCTTTGAACCAAGTCTCCGCATCTTTTCAAGTTCGTTTGACTAATTGTAGTTGTTCGAATAGATATTCAAATTGCGCCTGTGTCTTTATGCTGGTCATTTTACTCGGTGGTATGCAGAAACGTAGACCACACGAAAGAGCCTGTAGTTGAAGTTCATTCGTTTAACCGGAGGCAAATTCATCACAAACCTTTCTGGTTGTTTCGGAAAATTTGGTTCGACTAACTTGTGGACGATGGAATTCTGAAGCTTGTTGAATGTACAAAGTTTGGCTTCTCGTATGTTTTCCATGCACAAGTTGGTAAATTTGATTCGGCTAACGAGGCTCAGTTCGTCAAGAATTATTGATCATTCGATGCACGTGGTCTGAAGTGTCGTTAGATTTTCTTTATAATCATCAATCTGACATCGCATCAAACGTCTCAAATTCCTGGTAGAGGCACAGATTTTATTCCTCCGTAAGCGTTTGCAAAACGTAATCGGATATCTGTTGCAACGGGCACGTTGTTCCAGAAAATGAATACGGACTCGAGTTGTGGCAATTTCACATCTCAATCTGACTAGGTCATCGAGAGACCTGATGGTTGATTTCGGGAGACGAGATCTGAGGAAATTTAAACATGCTTTTCCCGAAATAATCTTGAAAAGAAAAGCCACAGTTGCAACATTGCACGATTCGTGTCCGGGACGATTTCGCTGCATCTGAACATGGTGCACACTGTACAACCATACTGTTTATATAAGTTCATGTAAAACCATAATTTTCGACAAATATAGGGGAAATTTCAATAGTCAAGTTACGTCACCATGATAAAGACACATGAACAAAGAGCTGTTTGTGCTGACACAATATTAGGTTTCCATGAATGTATGGCAATGGTTTGAACAAACCACAAAAGCCCGGTATTCTTTGCCACGTAAATGACCCGAAACGCAGTGCTTCGGTCAGCTGGATGTTGCGTCATCAGAAGATGACGAGCGACGGCCGACGGCCGACGGCCGACGGCCGACAGCCGACGACGGGATCTTATGGTTTCGAACGTTGTCATTATGCCTTTGATCTGACCCTGATTGCATCACAAAACGTTGTACCCAATTTGGAATATATTCAACCACTCGGTTACGTAACTGGCGCTCTGTTCGACCCACGTAGGTTGCTCCGCAACTACACTGAAATTGGTAAATCAGATTCGATTTGGTGTACAGAGGTGGACGTTGTTTCACCGAGGTTGTGGGGATCTCAATCGTTCGATGAATAATTCTGAGGTCAGGTGCATAATATTTGTTTTGGGCAAGCGCTGATCCAAGTGGTCGTTTGAGCAAGCAATTGATGTCATCACGTATGAATGGAAGACAAAGGGTGACTAGTAGTTTTTCTGCTGAACAATTCGTTTGTCTGATCAATTTAGGCTTGCTGTGCTTTTCGATAAACGCATCGGGATAAGCGTTTCTAGTCAAAGATGCTTTCAGCTGTCGTAGTTCGTTGTCAATCATGTCTTCTGTGCAGATATGTCGTGCTGTTTGAAATAGTGTTCGGACCAGACCACGTTCATATTCCACAGACACAAAGCTGTCAAATTGCAAGCATTGGCCTGTCCAGGTTTCTTTTCGGTAAACAGATCTGGCCATTGTTCCATCATTATTCCTAGTCATTTTAATGTCGAGGAAGTGCAGTGTATCTTCGATTTCTGTTTCCATCGTAAATCGTATATTCGGATGCAGGCGATCGAGTTTATCCATAATCCATGTTGTCTCTTCTAGACTTATTGTGATGACTAGAACATGATCAACGTATCGTTTGTAAAGTTGTGAACGTTCGAGGATTTTGCTCGCCTTTTCCTCAAGATGAGCCAAAAACAGATGTGCCAGAATGGGGCTCAATGGAGTTCCGATTGCGACACCGTCAATTTGTCTGTAAGCCCAACCAAGGAAGGAGAACGATACGTTTGTTGTGCACAGTAGTAATTGTCGTACCAGAACTGATACTGGTATACCGATTTTCAGTTCGTTTTGCTCCACATGATCACACATGATACGTATGACCTCCCGACCGGGAACATTCGTAAACAGTGATTGGAAATCAAATGAAGCCATGTGCTTCCCTTTCACATTGATCTGGTCCAAAAGCTTTACCACTTTGAAACTGTCTTTTTTATAGTGTGTCTGACCATTGATTTATGAACTGGCTCAAGCAATTTCTCCAGCCACTTGGCCAATTCGTGTTGTGGTGAATTTGCCATAGATAGTAGTAGTATTGGTCCAAGTGGCACTCCGGGTTTGTTTAGTTTCGGTAAACCATACAGTTGTGCACTTCGAGTTCCTTTTGGCTTCAGATGGTGAGCTGTGCTTTCATCGATGAAGTGTCCTTCTAGTAGAAACTGTACTGCTGTCGATATCTGTTGTTCTAGTTCTTTAGGGTCTTCACAGTCATCTTCGAGTACAAACTTGCTGGGATCATGAAGAACACTTTCCATCTTCTTCTCATAATCATTCCGATCGATCAGCACTGCTCCGGACCCCTTGTTAGGGCGTAAAACTAACAAATCAGGTCATAACTGTAGCTCTTCAATGGCGGATGTGAATGTGCTCAGGCGTGAAGAGTGACTTATGTTTGGACGATGTCATCCGGTACTGTCGTTCCAAGTCAACCAGCTTTGCTTTGAACCAAGTCTCCGCATCTTTTCAAGTTCGTTTGACTAATTGTAGTTGTTCGAATAGATATTCAAATTGCGCCTGTGTCTTTATGCTGGTCATTTTACTCGGTGGTATGCAGAAACGTAGACCACACGAAAGAGCCTGTAGTTGAAGTTCATTCGTTTAACCGGAGGCAAATTCATCACAAACCTTTCTGGTTGTTTCGGAAAATTTGGTTCGACTAACTTGTGGACGATGGAATTCTGAAGCTTGTTGAATGTACAAAGTTTGGCTTCTCGTATGTTTTCCATGCACAAGTTGGTAAATTTGATTCGGCTAACGAGGCTCAGTTCGTCAAGAATTATTGATCATTCGATGCACGTGGTCTGAAGTGTCGTTAGATTTTCTTTATAATCATCAATCTGACATCGCATCAAACGTCTCAAATTCCTGGTAGAGGCACAGATTTTATTCCTCCGTAAGCGTTTGCAAAACGTAATCGGATATCTGTTGCAACGGGCACGTTGTTCCAGAAAATGAATACGGACTCGAGTTGTGGCAATTTCACATCTCAATCTGACTAGGTCATCGAGAGACCTGATGGTTGATTTCGGGAGACGAGATCTGAGGAAATTTAAAGACGCTTTTCCCGAAATAATCTTGAAAAGAAAAGCCACAGTTGCAACATTGCACGATTCGTGTCCGGGACGATTTCGCTGCATCTGAACATGGTGCACACTGCACAACCATACTGTTTATATAAGTTCATGTAAAACCATAATTTTCGACAAATATAGGGGAAATTTCAATAGTCAAGTTACGTCACCATGATAAAGACACATGAACAAAGAGCTGTTTGTGCTGACACAATATTAGGTTTCCATGACTGTATGGCAATGGTTTGAACAAACCTCAAAAGCCTGGTATTCTTTGCCACGTAAATGACCCGAAACGCAGTGCTTCGGTCAGCTGGATGTTGCGTCATCAGAAGATGACGAGCGACGGCCGACGGCCGACGGCCGACAGCCGACGACGGGATCTTATGGTTTCGAACGTTGTCATTATGCCTTTGATCTGACCCTGATTGCATCACAAAACGTTGTACCCAATTTGGAATATATTCAATCACTCGGTTACGTAACTGGCGCTCTGTTCGACCCACGTACGTTGCTCCGCAACTACACTGAAATTGGTAAATCAGATTCGATTTGGTGTACAGAGGTGGACGTTGTTTCACCGAGGGTGTGGGGATCTCAATCGTTCGATGAATAATTCTGAGGTCAGGTGCATAATATTTGTTTTGGGCAAGCGCTGATCCAAGTGGTCGTTTGAGCAAGCAATTGATGTCATCACGTTTGAATGGAAGACAAAGGGTGACTAGTAGTTTTTCTGCTGAACAATTCGTTTGTCTGATCAATTTAGGCTTGCTGTGCTTTTCGATAAACGCATCGGGATAAGCGTTTCTAGTCAAAGATTCTTTCAGCTGTCGTAGTTCGTTGTCAATCATGTCTTCTGTGCAGATATGTCGTGCTGTTTGAAATAGTGTTCGGACCAGACCACGTTCATATTCCACAGACACAAAGCTGTCAAATTGCAAGCATTGGCCTGTCCAAGTTTCTTTTCGGTAAACAGATCTGGCCATTGTTCCATCATTATTCCTAGTCATTTTAATGTCGAGGAAGTGCAGTGTATCTTCGATTTCTGTTTCCATCGTAAATCGTATATTCGGATGCAGGCGATCGAGTTTATCCATAATCCATGTTGTCTCTTCTAGACTTATTGTGATGACTAGAACATGATCAACGTATCGTTTGTAAAGTTGTGAACGTTCGAGGATTTTGCTCGCCTTTTCCTCAAGATGAGCCAAAAACATATGTGCCAGAATGGGGCTCAATGGAGTTCCGATTGCGACACCGTCAATTTGTCTGTAAGCCCAACCAAGGAAGGAGAACGATACGTTTGTTGTGCACAGTAGTAATTGTCGTACCAGAACTGATACTGGTATACCGATTTTCAGTTCGTTTTGCTCCACATGATCACACATGATACGTATGACCTCCCGACCGGGAACATTCGTAAACAGTGATTGGAAATCAAATGAAGCCATGTGCTTCCCTTTCACATTGATCTGGTCCAAAAGCTTTACCACTTCGAAACTGTCTTTTTTATAGTGTGTCTGACCATTGATTTATGAACTGGCTCAAGCAATTTCTCCAGCCATTTGGCCAATTCGTGTTGTGGTGAATTTGTCATAGATAGTAGTAGTATTGGTCCAAGTGGCACTCCGGGTTTGTTTAGTTTCGGTAAACCATACAGTTGTGCACTTCGAGTTCCTTTTGGCTTCAGATGGTGAGCTGTGCTTTCATCGATGAAGTGTCCTTCTAGTAGAAACTGTACTGCTGTCGATATCTGTTGTTCTAGTTCTTTAGGGTCTTCACAGTCATCTTCGAGTACAAACTTGCTGGGATCATGAAGAACACTTTCCATCTTCTTCTCATAATCATTCCGATCGATCAGCACTGCTCCGGACCCCTTGTTAGGGCGTAAAACTAACAAATCAGGTCATAACTGTAGCTCTTCAATGGCGGATGTGAATGTGCTCAGGCGTGAAGAGTGACTTATGTTTGGACGATGTCATCCGGTACTGTCGTTCCAAGTCAACCAGCTTTGCTTTGAACCAAGTCTCCGCATCTTTTCAAGTTCGTTTGACTAATTGTAGTTGTTCGAATAGATATTCAAATTGCGCCTGTGTCTTTATGCTGGTCATTTTACTCGGTCGTATGCAGAAACGTAGACCACACGAAAGAGCCTGTAGTTGAAGTTCATTCGTTTAACCGGAGACAAATTCTTCACAAACCTTTCTGGTTGTTTCGGAAAATTTGGTTCGACTAACTTGTGGACGATGGAATTCTGAAGCTTGTTGAATGTACAAAGTTTGGCTTCTCGTATGTTTTCCATGCACAAGTTGGTAAATTTGATTCGGCTAACGAGGCTCAGTTCGTCAAGAATTATTGATCATTCGATGCACGTGGTCTGAAGTGTCGTTAGATTTTCTTTATAATCATCAATCTGACATCGCATCAAACGTCTCAAATTCCTGGTAGAGGCACAGATTTTATTCCTCCGTAAGCGTTTGCAAAACGTAATCGGATATCTGTTGCAACGGGCACGTTGTTCCAGAAAATGAATACGGACTCGAGTTGTGGCAATTTCACATCTCAATCTGACTAGGTCATCGAGAGACCTGATGGTTGATTTCGGGAGACGAGATCTGAGGAAATTTAAACATGCTTTTCCCGAAATAATCTTGAAAAGAAAAGCCACAGTTGCAACATTGCACGATTCGTGTCCGGGACGATTTCGCTGCATCTGAACATGGTGCACACTGCACAACCATACTGTTTATATAAGTTCATGTAAAACCATAATTTTCGACAAATATAGGGGAAATTTCAATAGTCAAGTTACGTCACCATGATAAAGACACATGAACAAAGAGCTGTTTGTGCTGACACAATATTAGGTTTCCATGAATGTATGGCAATGGTTTGAACAAACCTCAAAAGCCTGGTATTCTTTGCCACGTAAATGACCCGAAACGCAGTGCTTCGGTCAGCTGGATGTTGCGTCATCAGAAGATGACGAGCGACGGCCGACGGCCGACGGCCGACAGCCGACGACGGGATCTTATGGTTTCGAACGTTGTCATTATGCCTTTGATCTGACCCTGATTGCATCACAAAACGTTGTACCCAATTTCGAATATATTCAATCACTCGGTTACGTAACTGGCGCTCTGTTCGACCCACGTACGTTGCTCCGCAACTACACTGAAATTGGTAAATCAGATTCGATTTGGTGTACAGAGGTGGACGTTGTTTCACCGAGGGTGTGGGGATCTCAATCGTTCGATGAATAATTCTGAGGTCAGGTGCATACTATTTGTTTTGGGCAAGCGCTGATCCAAGTGGTCGTTTGAGCAAGCAATTGATGTCATCACGTATGAATGGAAGACAAAGGGTGACTAGTAGTTTTTCTGCTGAACAATTCGTTTGTCTGATCAATTTAGGCTTGCTGTGCTTTTCGATAAACGCATCGGGATAAGCGTTTCTAGTCAAAGATTCTTTCAGCTGTCGTAGTTCGTTGTCAATCATGTCTTCTGTGCAGATATGTCGTGCTGTTTGAAATAGTGTTCGGACCAGACCACGTTCATATTCCACAGACACAAAGCTGTCAAATTGCAAGCATTGGCCTGTCCAAGTTTCTTTTCGGTAAACAGATCTGGCCATTGTTCCATCATTATTCCTAGTCATTTTAATGTCGAGGAAGTGCAGTGTATCTTCGATTTCTGTTTCCATCGTAAATCGTATATTCGGATGCAGGCGATCGAGTTTATCCATAATCCATGTTGTCTCTTCTAGACTTATTGTGATGACTAGAACATGATCAACGTATCGTTTGTAAAGTTGTGAACGTTCGAGGATTTTGCTCGCCTTTTCCTCAAGATGAGCCAAAAACATATGTGCCAGAATGGGGCTCAATGGAGTTCCGATTGCGACACCGTCAATTTGTCTGTAAGCCCAACCAAGGAAGGAGAACGATACGTTTGTTGTGCACAGTAGTAATTGTCGTACCAGAACTGATACTGGTATACCGATTTTCAGTTCGTTTTGCTCCACATGATCACACATGATACGTATGACCTCCCGACCGGGAACATTCGTAAACAGTGATTGGAAATCAAATGAAGCCATGTGCTTCCCTTTCACATTGATCTGGTCCAAAAGCTTTACCACTTCGAAACTGTCTTTTTTATAGTGTGTCTGACCATTGATTTATGAACTGGCTCAAGCAATTTCTCCAGCCATTTGGCCAATTCGTGTTGTGGTGAATTTGTCATAGATAGTAGTAGTATTGGTCCAAGTGGCACTCCGGGTTTGTTTAGTTTCGTAAACCATACAGTTGTGCACTTCGAGTTCCTTTTGGCTTCAGATGGTGAGCTGTGCTTTCATCGATGAAGTGTCCTTCTAGTAGAAACTGTACTGCTGTCGATATCTGTTGTTCTAGTTCTTTAGGGTCTTCACAGTCATCTTCGAGTACAAACTTGCTGGGATCATGAAGAACACTTTCCATCTTCTTCTCATAATCATTCCGATCGATCAGCACTGCTCCGGACCCCTTGTTAGGGCGTAAAACTAACAAATCAGGTCATAACTGTAGCTCTTCAATGGCGGATGTGAATGTGCTCAGGCGTGAAGAGTGACTTATGTTTGGACGATGTCATCCGGTACTGTCGTTCCAAGTCAACCAGCTTTGCTTTGAACCAAGTCTCCGCATCTTTTCAAGTTCGTTTGACTAATTGTAGTTGTTCGAATAGATATTCAAATTGCGCCTGTGTCTTTATGCTGGTCATTTTACTCGGTCGTATGCAGAAACGTAGACCACACGAAAGAGCTTGTAGTTGAAGTTCATTCGTTTAACCGGAGACAAATTCTTCACAAACCTTTCTGGTTGTTTCGGAAAATTTGGTTCGACTAACTTGTGGACGATGGAATTCTGAAGCTTGTTGAATGTACAAAGTTTGGCTTCTCGTATGTTTTCCATGCACAAGTTGGTAAATTTGATTCGGCTAACGAGGCTCAGTTCGTCAAGAATTATTGATCATTCGATGCACGTGGTCTGAAGTGTCGTTAGATTTTCTTTATAATCATCAATCTGACATCGCATCAAACGTCTCAAATTCCTGGTAGAGGCACAGATTTTATTCCTCCGTAAGCGTTTGCAAAACGTAATCGGATATCTGTTGCAACGGGCACGTTGTTCCAGAAAATGAATACGGACTCGAGTTGTGGCAATTTCACATCTCAATCTGACTAGGTCATCGAGAGACCTAATGGTTGATTTCGGGAGACGAGATCTGAGGAAATTTAAACATGCTTTCCCCGAAATAGTCTTGAAAAGAAAAGCCACAGTTGCAACATTGCACGATTCGTGTCCGGGACGATTTCGCTGCATCTGAACATGGTGCACACTGCACAACCATACTGTTTATATAAGTTCATGTAAAACCATAATTTTCGACAAATATAGGGGAAATTTCAATAGTCAAGTTACGTCACCATGATAAAGACACATGAACAAAGAGCTGTTTGTGCTGACACAATATTAGGTTTCCATGAATGTATGGCAATGGTTTGAACAAACCACAAAAGCCCGGTATTCTTTGCCACGTAAATGACCCGAAACGCAGTGCTTCGGTCAGCTGGATGTTGCGTCATCAGAAGATGACGAGCGACGGCCGACGGCCGACGGCCGACAGCCGACGACGGGATCTTATGGTTTCGAACGTTGTCATTATGCCTTTGATCTGACCCTGATTGCATCACAAAACGTTGTACCCAATTTGGAATATATTCAATCACTCGGTTACGTAACTGGCGCTCTGTTCGACCCACGTACGTTGCTCCGCAACTACACTGAAATTGGTAAATCAGATTCGATTTGGTGTACAGAGGTGGACGTTGTTTCACCGAGGGTGTGGGGATCTCAATCGTTCGATGAATAATTCTGAGGTCAGGTGCATAATATTTGTTTTGGGCAAGCGCTGATCCAAGTGGTCGTTTGAGCAAGCAATTGATGTCATCACGTATGAATGGAAGACAAAGGGTGACTAGTAGTTTTTCTGCTGAACAATTCGTTTGTCTGATCAATTTAGGCTTGCTGTGCTTTTCGATAAACGCATCGGGATAAGCGTTTCTAGTCAAAGATGCTTTCAGCTGTCGTAGTTCGTTGTCAATCATGTCTTCTGTGCAGATATGTCGTGCTGTTTGAAATAGTGTTCGGACCAGACCACGTTCATATTCCACAGACACAAAGCTGTCAAATTGCAAGCATTGGCCTGTCCAGGTTTCTTTTCGGTAAACAGATCTGGCCATTGTTCCATCATTATTCCTAGTCATTTTAATGTCGAGGAAGTGCAGTGTATCTTCGATTTCTGTTTCCATCGTAAATCGTATATTCGGATGCAGGCGATCGAGTTTATCCATAATCCATGTTGTCTCTTCTAGACTTATTGTGATGACTAGAACATGATCAACGTATCGTTTGTAAAGTTGTGAACGTTCGAGGATTTTGCTCGCCTTTTCCTCAAGATGAGCCAAAAACATATGTGCCAGAATGGGGCTCAATGGAGTTCCGATTGCGACACCGTCAATTTGTCTGTAAGCCCAACCAAGGAAGGAGAACGATACGTTTGTTGTGCACAGTAGTAATTGTCGTACCAGAACTGATACTGGTATACCGATTTTCAGTTCGTTTTGCTCCACATGATCACACATGATACGTATGACCTCCCGACCGGGAACATTCGTAAACAGTGATTGGAAATCAAATGAAGCCATGTGCTTCCCTTTCACATTGATCTGGTCCAAAAGCTTTACCACTTTGAAACTGTCTTTTTTATAGTGTGTCTGACCATTGATTTATGAACTGGCTCAAGCAATTTCTCCAGCCATTTGGCCAATTCGTGTTGTGGTGAATTTGCCATAGATAGTAGTAGTATTGGTCCAAGTGGCACTCCGGGTTTGTTTAGTTTCGGTAAACCATACAGTTGTGCACTTCGAGTTCCTTTTGGCTTCAGATGGTGAGCTGTGCTTTCATCGATGAAGTGTCCTTCTAGTAGAAACTGTACTGCTGTCGATATCTGTTGTTCTAGTTCTTTAGGGTCTTCACAGTCATCTTCGAGTACAAACTTGCTGGGATCATGAAGAACACTTTCCATCTTCTTCTCATAATCATTCCGATCGATCAGCACTGCTCCGGACCCCTTGTTAGGGCGTAAAACTAACAAATCAGGTCATAACTGTAGCTCTTCAATGGCGGATGTGAATGTGCTCAGGCGTGAAGAGTGACTTATGTTTGGACGATGTCATCCGGTACTGTCGTTCCAAGTCAACCAGCTTTGCTTTGAACCAAGTCTCCGCATCTTTTCAAGTTCGTTTGACTAATTGTAGTTGTTCGAATAGATATTCAAATTGCGCCTGTGTCTTTATGCTGGTCATTTTACTCGGTGGTATGCAGAAACGTAGACCACACGAAAGAGCCTGTAGTTGAAGTTCATTCGTTTAACCGGAGGCAAATTCATCACAAACCTTTCTGGTTGTTTCGGAAAATTTGGTTCGACTAACTTGTGGACGATGGAATTCTGAAGCTTGTTGAATGTACAAAGTTTGGCTTCTCGTATGTTTTCCATGCACAAGTTGGTAAATTTGATTCGGCTAACGAGGCTCAGTTCGTCAAGAATTATTGATCATTCGATGCACGTGGTCTGAAGTGTCGTTAGATTTTCTTTATAATCATCAATCTGACATCGCATCAAACGTCTCAAATTCCTGGTAGAGGCACAGATTTTATTCCTCCGTAAGCGTTTGCAAAACGTAATCGGATATCTGTTGCAACGGGCACGTTGTTCCAGAAAATGAATACGGACTCGAGTTGTGGCAATTTCACATCTCAATCTGACTAGGTCATCGAGAGACCTGATGGTTGATTTCGGGAGACGAGATCTGAGGAAATTTAAACATGCTTTTCCCGAAATAATCTTGAAAAGAAAAGCCACAGTTGCAACATTGCACGATTCGTGTCCGGGACGATTTCGCTGCATCTGAACATGGTGCACACTGTACAACCATACTGTTTATATAAGTTCATGTAAAACCATAATTTTCGACAAATATAGGGGAAATTTCAATAGTCAAGTTACGTCACCATGATAAAGACACATGAACAAAGAGCTGTTTGTGCTGACACAATATTAGGTTTCCATGACTGTATGGCAATGGTTTGAACAAACCTCAAAAGCCTGGTATTCTTTGCCACGTAAATGACCCGAAACGCAGTGCTTCGGTCAGCTGGATGTTGCGTCATCAGAAGATGACGAGCGACGGCCGACGGCCGACGGCCGACAGCCGACGACGGGATCTTATGGTTTCGAACGTTGTCATTATGCCTTTGATCTGACCCTGATTGCATCACAAAACGTTGTACCCAATTTGGAATATATTCAATCACTCGGTTACGTAACTGGCGCTCTGTTCGACCCACGTACGTTGCTCCGCAACTACACTGAAATTGGTAAATCAGATTCGATTTGGTGTACAGAGGTGGACGTTGTTTCACCGAGGGTGTGGGGATCTCAATCGTTCGATGAATAATTCTGAGGTCAGGTGCATAATATTTGTTTTGGGCAAGCGCTGATCCAAGTGGTCGTTTGAGCAAGCAATTGATGTCATCACGTTTGAATGGAAGACAAAGGGTGACTAGTAGTTTTTCTGCTGAACAATTCGTTTGTCTGATCAATTTAGGCTTGCTGTGCTTTTCGATAAACGCATCGGGATAAGCGTTTCTAGTCAAAGATTCTTTCAGCTGTCGTAGTTCGTTGTCAATCATGTCTTCTGTGCAGATATGTCGTGCTGTTTGAAATAGTGTTCGGACCAGACCACGTTCATATTCCACAGACACAAAGCTGTCAAATTGCAAGCATTGGCCTGTCCAAGTTTCTTTTCGGTAAACAGATCTGGCCATTGTTCCATCATTATTCCTAGTCATTTTAATGTCGAGGAAGTGCAGTGTATCTTCGATTTCTGTTTCCATCGTAAATCGTATATTCGGATGCAGGCGATCGAGTTTATCCATAATCCATGTTGTCTCTTCTAGACTTATTGTGATGACTAGAACATGATCAACGTATCGTTTGTAAAGTTGTGAACGTTCGAGGATTTTGCTCGCCTTTTCCTCAAGATGAGCCAAAAACAGATGTGCCAGAATGGGGCTCAATGGAGTTCCGATTGCGACACCGTCAATTTGTCTGTAAGCCCAACCAAGGAAGGAGAACGATACGTTTGTTGTGCACAGTAGTAATTGTCGTACCAGAACTGATACTGGTATACCGATTTTCAGTTCGTTTTGCTCCACATGATCACACATGATACGTATGACCTCCCGACCGGGAACATTCGTAAACAGTGATTGGAAATCAAATGAAGCCATGTGCTTCCCTTTCACATTGATCTGGTCCAAAAGCTTTACCACTTCGAAACTGTCTTTTTTATAGTGTGTCTGACCATTGATTTATGAACTGGCTCAAGCAATTTCTCCAGCCATTTGGCCAATTCGTGTTGTGGTGAATTTGTCATAGATAGTAGTAGTATTGGTCCAAGTGGCACTCCGGGTTTGTTTAGTTTCGGTAAACCATACAGTTGTGCACTTCGAGTTTCTTTTGGCTTCAGATGGTGAGCTGTGCTTTCATCGATGAAGTGTCCTTCTAGTAGAAACTGTACTGCTGTCGATATCTGTGGTTCTAGTTCTTTAGGGTCTTCACAGTCATCTTCGAGTACAAACTTGCTGGGATCATGAAGAACACTTTCCATCTTCTTCTCATAATCATTCCGATCGATCAGCACTGCTCCGGACCCCTTGTTAGGGCGTAAAACTAACAAATCAAGTCACAACTGTAGCTCTTCAATGGCGGATGTGAATGTGCTCAGGCGTGAAGAGTGACTTATGTTTGGACGATGTCATCCGGTACTGTCGTTCCAAGTCAACCAGCTTTGCTTTGAACCAAGTCTCCGCATCTTTTCAAGTTCGTTTGACTAATTGTAGTTGTTCGAATAGATATTCAAATTGCGCCTGTGTCTTTATGCTGGTCATTTTACTCGGTGGTATGCAGAAACGTAGACCACACGAAAGAGCCTGTAGTTGAAGTTCATTCGTTTAACCGGAGACAAATTCTTCACAAACCTTTCTGGTTGTTTCGGAAAATTTGGTTCGACTAACTTGTGGACGATGGAATTCTGAAGCTTGTTGAATGTACAAAGTTTGGCTTCTCGTATGTTTTCCATGCACAAGTTGGTAAATTTGATTCGGCTAACGAGGCTCAGTTCGTCAAGAATTATTGATCATTCGATGCACGTGGTCTGAAGTGTCGTTAGATTTTCTTTATAATCATCAATCTGACATCGCATCAAACGTCTCAAATTCCTGGTAGAGGCACAGATTTTATTCCTCCGTAAGCGTTTGCAAAACGTAATCGGATATCTGTTGCAACGGGCACGTTGTTCCAGAAAATGAATACGGACTCGAGTTGTGGCAATTTCACATCTCAATCTGACTAGGTCATCGAGAGACCTGATGGTTGATTTCGGGAGACGAGATCTGAGGAAATTTAAACATGCTTTTCCCGAAATAATCTTGAAAAGAAAAGCCACAGTTGCAACATTGCACGATTCGTGTCCGGGACGATTTCGCTGCATCTGAACATGGTGCACACTGCACAACCATACTGTTTATATAAGTTCATGTAAAACCATAATTTTCGACAAATATAGGGGAAATTTCAATAGTCAAGTTACGTCACCATGATAAAGACACATGAACAAAGAGCTGTTTGTGCTGACACAATATTAGGTTTCCATGACTGTATGGCAATGGTTTGAACAAACCTCAAAAGCCTGGTATTCTTTGCCACGTAAATGACCCGAAACGCAGTGCTTCGGTCAGCTGGATGTTGCGTCATCAGAAGATGACGAGCGACGGCCGACGGCCGACGGCCGACAGCCGACGACGGGATCTTATGGTTTCGAACGTTGTCATTATGCCTTTGATCTGACCCTGATTGCATCACAAAACGTTGTACCCAATTTGGAATATATTCAATCACTCGGTTACGTAACTGGCGCTCTGTTCGACCCACGTACGTTGCTCCGCAACTACACTGAAATTGGTAAATCAGATTCGATTTGGTGTACAGAGGTGGACGTTGTTTCACCGAGGGTGTGGGGATCTCAATCGTTCGATGAATAATTCTGAGGTCAGGTGCATACTATTTGTTTTGGGCAAGCGCTGATCCAAGTGGTCGTTTGAGCAAGCAATTGATGTCATCACGTATGAATGGAAGACAAAGGGTGACTAGTAGTTTTTCTGCTGAACAATTCGTTTGTCTGATCAATTTAGGCTTGCTGTGCTTTTCGATAAACGCATCGGGATAAGCGTTTCTAGTCAAAGATTCTTTCAGCTGTCGTAGTTCGTTGTCAATCATGTCTTCTGTGCAGATATGTCGTGCTGTTTGAAATAGTGTTCGGACCAGACCACGTTCATATTCCACAGACACAAAGCTGTCAAATTGCAAGCATTGGCCTGTCCAAGTTTCTTTTCGGTAAACAGATCTGGCCATTGTTCCATCATTATTCCTAGTCATTTTAATGTCGAGGAAGTGCAGTGTATCTTCGATTTCTGTTTCCATCGTAAATCGTATATTCGGATGCAGGCGATCGAGTTTATCCATAATCCATGTTGTCTCTTCTAGACTTATTGTGATGACTAGAACATGATCAACGTATCGTTTGTAAAGTTGTGAACGTTCGAGGATTTTGCTCGCCTTTTCCTCAAGATGAGCCAAAAACAGATGTGCCAGAATGGGGCTCAATGGAGTTCCGATTGCGACACCGTCAATTTGTCTGTAAGCCCAACCAAGGAAGGAGAACGATACGTTTGTTGTGCACAGTAGTAATTGTCGTACCAGAACTGATACTGGTATACCGATTTTCAGTTCGTTTTGCTCCACATGATCACACATGATACGTATGACCTCCCGACCGGGAACATTCGTAAACAGTGATTGGAAATCAAATGAAGCCATGTGCTTCCCTTTCACATTGATCTGGTCCAAAAGCTTTACCACTTCGAAACTGTCTTTTTTATAGTGTGTCTGACCATTGATTTATGAACTGGCTCAAGCAATTTCTCCAGCCATTTGGCCAATTCGTGTTGTGGTGAATTTGTCATAGATAGTAGTAGTATTGGTCCAAGTGGCACTCCGGGTTTGTTTAGTTTCGGTAAACCATACAGTTGTGCACTTCGAGTTCCTTTTGGCTTCAGATGGTGAGCTGTGCTTTCATCGATGAAGTGTCCTTCTAGTAGAAACTGTACTGCTGTCGATATCTGTTGTTCTAGTTCTTTAGGGTCTTCACAGTCATCTTCGAGTACAAACTTGCTGGGATCATGAAGAACACTTTCCATCTTCTTCTCATAATCATTCCGATCGATCAGCACTGCTCCGGACCCCTTGTTAGGGCGTAAAACTAACAAATCAAGTCACAACTTTAGCTCTTCAATGGCGGATGTGAATGTGCTCAGGCGTGAAGAGTGACTTATGTTTGGACGATGTCATCCGGTACTGTCGTTCCAAGTCAACCAGCTTTGCTTTGAACCAAGTCTCCGCATCTTTTGAAGTTCGTTTGACTAATTGTAGTTGTTCGAATAGATATTCAAATTGCGCCTGTGTCTTTATGCTGGTCATTTTACTCGGTCGTATGCAGAAACGTAGACCACACGAAAGAGCCTGTAGTTGAAGTTCATTCGTTTAACCGGAGACAAATTCATCACAAACCTTTCTGGTTGTTTCGGAAAATTTGGTTCGACTAACTTGTGGACGATGGAATTCTGAAGCTTGTTGAATGTACAAAGTTTGGCTTCTCGTATGTTTTCCATGCACAAGTTGGTAAATTTGATTCGGCTAACGAGGCTCAGTTCGTCAAGAATTATTGATCATTCGATGCACGTGGTCTGAAGTGTCGTTAGATTTTCTTTATAATCATCAATCTGACATCGCATCAAACGTCTCAAACTCCTGGTAGAGGCACAGATTTTATTCCTCCGTAAGCGTTTGCAAAACGTAATTGGATATCTGTTGCAACGGGCACGTTGTTCCAGAAAATGAATACGGACTCGAGTTGTGGCAATTTCACATCTCAATCTGACTAGGTCATCGAGAGACCTAATGGTTGATTTCGGGAGACGAGATCTGAGGAAATTTAAACATGCTTTCCCCGAAATAGTCTTGAAAAGAAAAGCCACAGTTGCAACATTGCACGATTCGTGTCCGGGACGATTTCGCTGCATCTGAACATGGTGCACACTGCACAACCATACTGTTTATATAAGTTCATGTAAAACCATAATTTTCGACAAATATAGGGGAAATTTCAATAGTCAAGTTACGTCACCATGATAAAGACACATGAACAAAGAGCTGTTTGTGCTGACACAATATTAGGTTTCCATGACTGTATGGCAATGGTTTGAACAAACCTCAAAAGCCTGGTATTCTTTGCCACGTAAATGACCCGAAACGCATTGCTTCGGTCAGCTAGATGTTGCGTCATCAGAAGATGACGAGCGACGGCCGACGGCCGACGGCCGACAGCCGACGACGGGATCTTATGGTTTCGAACGTTGTCATTATGCCTTTGATCTGACCCTGATTGCATCACAAAACGTTGTACCCAATTTGGAATATATTCAATCACTCGGTTACGTAACTGGCGCTCTGTTCGACCCACGTAGGTTGCTCCGCAACTACACTGAAATTGGTAAATCAGATTCGATTTGGTGTACAGAGGTGGACGTTGTTTCACCGAGGGTGTGGGGATCTCAATCGTTCGATGAATAATTCTGATGTCAGGTGCATAATATTTGTTTTGGGCAAGCGCTGATCCAAGTGGTCGTTTGAGCAAGCAATTGATGTCATCACGTATGAATGGAAGACAATGGGTGACTAGTAGTTTTTCTGCTGAACAATTCGTTTGTCTGATCAATTTAGGCTTGCTGTGCTTTTCGATAAACGCATCGGGATAAGCGTTTCTAGTCAAAGATTCTTTCAGCTGTCGTAGTTCGTTGTCAATCATGTCTTATGTGCAGATATGTCGTGCTGTTTGAAATAGTGTTCGGACCAGACCACGTTCATATTCCACAGACACAAAGCTGTCAAATTGCAAGCATTGGCCTGTCCAAGTTTCTTTTCGGTAAACAGATCTGGCCATTGTTCCATCATTATTCCTAGTGATTTTAATGTCGAGGAAGTGCAGTGTATCTTCGATTTCTGTTTCCATCGTAAATCGTATATTCGGATGCAGGCGATCGAGTTTATCCATAATCCATGTTGTCTCTTCTAGACTTATTGTGATGACTAGAACATGATCAACGTATCGTTTGTAAAGTTGTGAACGTTCGAGGATTTTGCTCGCCTTTTCCTCAAGATGAGCCAAAAACAGATGTGCCAGAATGGGGCTCAATGGAGTTCCGATTGCGACACCGTCAATTTGTCTGTAAGCCCAACCAAGGAAGGAGAACGATACGTTTGTTGTGCACAGTAGTAATTGTCGTACCAGAACTGATACTGGTATACCGATTTTCAGTTCGTTTTGCTCCACATGATCACACATGATACGTATGACCTCCCGACCGGGAACATTCGTAAACAGTGATTGGAAATCAAATGAAGCCATGTGCTTCCCTTTCACATTGATCTGGTCCAAAAGCTTTACCACTTCGAAACTGTCTTTTTTATAGTGTGTCTGACCATTGATTTATGAACTGGCTCAAGCAATTTCTCCAGCCATTTGGCCAATTCGTGTTGTGGTGAATTTGTCATAGATAGTAGTAGTATTGGTCCAAGTGGCACTCCGGGTTTGTTTAGTTTCGGTAAACCATACAGTTGTGCACTTCGAGTTCCTTTTGGCTTCAGATGGTGAGCTGTGCTTTCATCGATGAAGTGTCCTTCTAGTAGAAACTGTACTGCTGTCGATATCTGTTGTTCTAGTTCTTTAGGGTCTTCACAGTCATTTTCGAGTACAAACTTGCTGGGATCATGAAGAACACTTTCCATCTTCTTCTCATAATCATTCCGATCGATCAGCACTGCTCCGGACCCCTTGTTAGGGCGTAAAACTAACAAATCAGGTCACAACTGTAGCTCTTCAATGGCGGATGTGAATGTGCTCAGGCGTGAAGAGTGACTTATGTTTGGACGATGTCATCCGGTACTGTCGTTCCAAGTCAACCAGCTTTGCTTTGAACCAAGTCTCCGCATCTTTTGAAGTTCGTTTGACTAATTGTAGTTGTTCGAATAGATATTCGAATTGCGCCTGTGTCTTTATGCTGGTCGTTTTACTCGGTGGTATGCAGAAACGTAGACCACACGAAAGAGCCTGTAGTTGAAGTTCATTCGTTTAACCGGAGACAAATTCATCACAAACCTTTCTGGTTGTTTCGGAAAATTTGGTTCGACTAACTTGTGGACGATGGAATTCTGAAGCTTGTTGAATGTACAAAGTTTGGCTTCTCGTATGTTTTCCATGCACAAGTTGGTAAATTTGATTCGGCTAACGAGGCTCAGTTCGTCAAGAATTATTGATCATTCGATGCACGTGGTCTGAAGTGTCGTTAGATTTTCTTTATAATCATCAATCTGACATCGCATCAAACGTCTCAAATTCCTGGTAGAGGCACAGATTTTATTCCTCCGTAAGCGTTTGCAAAACGTAATCGGATATCTGTTGCAACGGGCACGTTGTTCCAGAAAATGAATACGGACTCGAGTTGTGGCAATTTCACATCTCAATCTGACTAGGTCATCGAGAGACCTGATGGTTGATTTCGGGAGACGAGATCTGAGGAAATTTAAACATGCTTTTCCCGAAATAGTCTTGAAAAGAAAAGCCACAGTTGCAACATTGCACGATTCGTGTCCGGGACGATTTCGCTGCATCTGAACATGGTGCACACTGTACAACCATACTGTTTATATAAGTTCATGTAAAACCATAATTTTCGACAAATATAGGGGAAATTTCAATAGTCAAGTTACGTCACCATGATAAAGACACATGAACAAAGAGCTGTTTGTGCTGACACAATATTAGGTTTCCATGACTGTATGGCAATGGTTTGAACAAACCTCAAAAGCCCGGTATTCTTTGCCACGTAAATGACCCGAAACGCATTGCTTCGGTCAGCTGGATGTTGCGTCATCAGAAGATGACGAGCGACGGCCGACGGCCGACGGCCGACAGCTGACGACGGGATCTTATGGTTTCGAACGTTGTCATTATGCCTTTGATCTGACCCTGATTGCATCACAAAACGTTGTACCCAATTTGGAATATATTCAATCACTCGGTTACGTAACTGGCGCTCTGTTCGACCCACGTACGTTGCTCCGCAACTACACTGAAATTGGTAAATCAGATTCGATTTGGTGTACAGAGGTGGACGTTGTTTCACCGAGGGTGTGGGGATCTCAATCGTTCGATGAATAATTCTGAGGTCAGGTGCATAATATTTGTTTTGGGCAAGCGCTGATCCAAGTGGTCGTTTGAGCAAGCAATTGATGTCATCACGTATGAATGGAAGACAAAGGGTGACTAGTAGTTTTTCTGCTGAACAATTCGTTTGTCTGATCAATTTAGGCTTGCTGTGCTTTTCGATAAACGCATCGGGATAAGCGTTTCTAGTCAAAGATGCTTTCAGCTGTCGTAGTTCGTTGTCAATCATGTCTTCTGTGCAGATATGTCGTGCTGTTTGAAATAGTGTTCGGACCAGACCACGTTCATATTCCACAGACACAAAGCTGTCAAATTGCAAGCATTGGCCTGTCCAGGTTTCTTTTCGGTAAACAGATCTGGCCATTGTTCCATCATTATTCCTAGTCATTTTAATGTCGAGGAAGTGCAGTGTATCTTCGATTTCTGTTTCCATCGTAAATCGTATATTCGGATGCAGGCGATCGAGTTTATCCATAATCCATGTTGTCTCTTCTAGACTTATTGTGATGACTAGAACATGATCAACGTATCGTTTGTAAAGTTGTGAACGTTCGAGGATTTTGCTCGCCTTTTCCTCAAGATGAGCCAAAAACAGATGTGCCAGAATGGGGCTCAATGGAGTTCCGATTGCGACACCGTCAATTTGTCTGTAAGCCCAACCAAGGAAGGAGAACGATACGTTTGTTGTGCACAGTAGTAATTGTCGTACCAGAACTGATACTGGTATACCGATTTTCAGTTCGTTTTGCTCCACATGATCACACATGATACGTATGACCTCCCGACCGGGAACATTCGTAAACAGTGATTGGAAATCAAATGAAGCCATGTGCTTCCCTTTCACATTGATCTGGTCCAAAAGCTTTACCACTTCGAAACTGTCTTTTTTATAGTGTGTCTGACCATTGATTTATGAACTGGCTCAAGCAATTTCTCCAGCCACTTGGCCAATTCGTGTTGTGGTGAATTTGTCATAGATAGTAGTAGTATTGGTCCAAGTGGCACTCCGGGTTTGTTTAGTTTCGGTAAACCATACAGTTGTGCACTTCGAGTTCCTTTTGGCTTCAGATGGTGAGCTGTGCTTTCATCGATGAAGTGTCCTTCTAGTAGAAACTGTACTGCTGTCGATATCTGTTGTTCTAGTTCTTTAGGGTCTTCACAGTCATCTTCGAGTACAAACTTGCTGGGATCATGAAGAACACTTTCCATCTTCTTCTCATAATCATTCCGATCGATCAGCACTGCTCCGGACCCCTTGTTAGGGCGTAAAACTAACAAATCAGGTCACAACTTTAGCTCTTCAATGGCGGATGTGAATGTGCTCAGGCGTGAAGAGTGACTTATGTTTGGACGATGTCATCCGGTACTGTCGTTCCAAGTCAACCAGCTTTGCTTTGAACCAAGTCTCCGCATCTTTTCAAGTTCGTTTGACTAATTGTAGTTGTTCGAATAGATATTCAAATTGCGCCTGTGTCTTTATGCTGGTCATTTTACTCGGTGGTATGCAGAAACGTAGACCACACGAAAGAGCTTGTAGTTGAAGTTCATTCGTTTAACCGGAGACAAATTCTTCACAAACCTTTCTGGTTGTTTCGGAAAATTTGGTTCGACTAACTTGTGGACGATGGAATTCTGAAGCTTGTTGAATGTACAAAGTTTGGCTTCTCGTATGTTTTCCATGCACAAGTTGGTAAATTTGATTCGGCTAACGAGGCTCAGTTCGTCAAGAATTATTGATCATTCGATGCACGTGGTCTGAAGTGTCGTTAGATTTTCTTTATAATCATCAATCTGACATCGCATCAAACGTCTCAAATTCCTGGTAGAGGCACAGATTTTATTCCTCCGTAAGCGTTTGCAAAACGTAATCGGATATCTGTTGCAACGGGCACGTTGTTCCAGAAAATGAATACGGACTCGAGTTGTGGCAATTTCACATCTCAATCTGACTAGGTCATCGAGAGACCTGATGGTTGATTTCGGGAGACGAGATCTGAGGAAATTTAAAGACGCTTTTCCCGAAATAGTCTTGAAAAGAAAAGCCACAGTTGCAACATTGCACGATTCGTGTCCGGGACGATTTCGCTGCATCTGAACATGGTGCACACTGCACAACCATACTGTTTATATAAGTTCATGTAAAACCATAATTTTCGACAAATATAGGGGAAATTTCAATAGTCAAGTTACGTCACCATGATAAAGACACATGAACAAAGAGCTGTTTGTGCTGACACAATATTAGGTTTCCATGACTGTATGGCAATGGTTTGAACAAACCTCAAAAGCCTGGTATTCTTTGCCACGTAAATGACCCGAAACGCATTGCTTCGGTCAGCTGGATGTTGCGTCATCAGAAGATGACGAGCGACGGCCGACGGCCGACGGCCGACAGCCGACGACGGGATCTTATGGTTTCGAACGTTGTCATTATGCCTTTGATCTGACCCTGATTGCATCACAAAACGTTGTACCCAATTTGGAATATATTCAATCACTCGGTTACGTAACTGGCGCTCTGTTCGACCCACGTACGTTGCTCCGCAACTACACTGAAATTGGTAAATCAGATTCGATTTGGTGTACAGAGGTGGACGTTGTTTCACCGAGGGTGTGGGGATCTCAATCGTTCGATGAATAATTCTGAGGTCAGGTGCATAATATTTGTTTTGGGCAAGCGCTGATCCAAGTGGTCGTTTGAGCAAGCAATTGATGTCATCACGTTTGAATGGAAGACAAAGGGTGACTAGTAGTTTTTCTGCTGAACAATTCGTTTGTCTGATCAATTTAGGCTTGCTGTGCTTTTCGATAAACGCATCGGGATAAGCGTTTCTAGTCAAAGATTCTTTCAGCTGTCGTAGTTCGTTGTCAATCATGTCTTATGTGCAGATATGTCGTGCTGTTTGAAATAGTGTTCGGACCAGACCACGTTCATATTCCACAGACACAAAGCTGTCAATTTGCAAGCATTGGCCTGTCCAAGTTTCTTTTCGGTAAACAGATCTGGCCATTGTTCCATCATTATTCCTAGTCATTTTAATGTCGAGGAAGTGCAGTGTATCTTCGATTTCTGTTTCCATCGTAAATCGTATATTCGGATGCAGGCGATCGAGTTTATCCATAATCCATGTTGTCTCTTCTAGACTTATTGTGATGACTAGAACATGATCAACGTATCGTTTGTAAAGTTGTGAACGTTCGAGGATTTTGCTCGCCTTTTCCTCAAGATGAGCCAAAAACAGATGTGCCAGAATGGGGCTCAATGGAGTTCCGATTGCGACACCGTCAATTTGTCTGTAAGCCCAACCAAGGAAGGAGAACGATACGTTTGTTGTGCACAGTAGTAATTGTCGTACCAGAACTGATACTGGTATACCGATTTTCAGTTCGTTTTGCTCCACATGATCACACATGATACGTATGACCTCCCGACCGGGAACATTCGTAAACAGTGATTGGAAATCAAATGAAGCCATGTGCTTCCCTTTCACATTGATCTGGTCCAAAAGCTTTACCACTTCGAAACTGTCTTTTTATAGTGTGTCTGACCATTGATTTATGAACTGGCTCAAGCAATTTCTCCAGCCATTTGGCCAATTCGTGTTGTGGTGAATTTGTCATAGATAGTAGTAGTATTGGTCCAAGTGGCACTCCGGGTTTGTTTAGTTTCGGTAAACCATACAGTTGTGCACTTCGAGTTCCTTTTGGCTTCAGATGGTGAGCTGTGCTTTCATCGATGAAGTGTCCTTCTAGTAGAAACTGTACTGCTGTCGATATCTGTTGTTCTAGTTCTTTAGGGTCTTCACAGTCATTTTCGAGTACAAACTTGCTGGGATCATGAAGAACACTTTCCATCTTCTTCTCATAATCATTCCGATCGATCAGCACTGCTCCGGACCCCTTGTTAGGGCGTAAAACTAACAAATCAAGTCACAACTGTAGCTCTTCAATGGCGGATGTGAATGTGCTCAGGCGTGAAGAGTGACTTATGTTTGGACGATGTCATCCGGTACTGTCGTTCCAAGTCAACCAGCTTTGCTTTGAACCAAGTCTCCGCATCTTTTGAAGTTCGTTTGACTAATTGTAGTTTTTCGAATAGATATTCGAATTGCGCCTGTGTCTTTATGCTGGTCATTTTACTCGGTGGTATGCAGAAACGTAGACCACACGAAAGAGCCTGTAGTTGAAGTTCATTCGTTTAACCGGAGGCAAATTCATCACAAACCTTTCTGGTTGTTTCGGAAAATTTGGTTCGACTAACTTGTGGACGATGGAATTCTGAAGCTTGTTGAATGTACAAAGTTTGGCTTCTCGTATGTTTTCCATGCACAAGTTGGTAAATTTGATTCGGCTAACGAGGCTCAGTTCGTCAAGAATTATTGATCATTCGATGCACGTGGTCTGAAGTGTCGTTAGATTTTCTTTATAATCATCAATCTGACATCGCATCAAACGTCTCAAATTCCTGGTAGAGGCACAGATTTTATTCCTCCGTAAGCGTTTGCAAAACGTAATCGGATATCTGTTGCAACGGGCACGTTGTTCCAGAAAATGAATACGGACTCGAGTTGTGGCAATTTCACATCTCAATCTGACTAGGTCATCGAGAGACCTGATGGTTGATTTCGGGAGACGAGATCTGAGGAAATTTAAACATGCTTTTCCCGAAATAATCTTGAAAAGAAAAGCCACAGTTGCAACATTGCACGATTCGTGTCCGGGACGATTTCGCTGCATCTGAACATGGTGCACACTGCACAACCATACTGTTTATATAAGTTCATGTAAAACCATAATTTTCGACAAATATAGGGGAAATTTCAATAGTCAAGTTACGTCACCATGATAAAGACACATGAACAAAGAGCTGTTTGTGCTGACACAATATTAGGTTTCCATGACTGTATGGCAATGGTTTGAACAAACCTCAAAAGCCTGGTATTCTTTGCCACGTAAATGACCCGAAACGCATTGCTTCGGTCAGCTGGATGTTGCGTCATCAGAAGATGACGAGCGACGGCCGACGGCCGACGGCCGACAGCCGACGACGGGATCTTATGGTTTCGAACGTTGTCATTATGCCTTTGATCTGACCCTGATTGCATCACAAAACGTTTTACCCAATTTGGAATATATTCAATCACTCGGTTACGTCACTGGCGCTCTTTTCGACCCACGTAGGTTGCTCCGCAACTACACTGAAATTGGTAAATCAGATTCGATTTGGTGTACAGAGGTGGACGTTGTTTCACCGAGGGTGTGGGGATCTCAATCGTTCGATGAATAATTCTGAGGTCAGGTGCATAATATTTGTTTTGGGCAAGCGCTGATCCAAGTGGTCGTTTGAGCAAGCAATTGATGTCATCACGTTTGAATGGAAGACAAAGGGTGACTAGTAGTTTTTCTGCTGAACAATTCGTTTGTCTGATCAATTTAGGCTTGCTGTGCTTTTCGATAAACGCATCGGGATAAGCGTTTCTAGTCAAAGATTCTTTCAGCTGTCGTAGTTCGTTGTCAATCATGTCTTATGTGCAGATATGTCGTGCTGTTTGAAATAGTGTTCGGACCAGACCACGTTCATATTCCACAGACACAAAGCTGTCAAATTGCAAGCATTGGCCTGTCCAAGTTTCTTTTCGGTAAACAGATGTGGCCATTGTTCCATCATTATTCCTAGTCATTTTAATGTCGAGGAAGTGCAGTGTATCTTCGATTTCTGTTTCCATCGTAAATCGTATATTCGGATGCAGGCGATCGAGTTTATCCATAATCCATGTTGTCTCTTCTAGACTTATTGTGATGACTAGAACATGATCAACGTATCGTTTG